ACACGATCGCTTCAAACAATGCAAACGTGACACCAGAATATGTGAGGTGACAGGCAGCAAACTTGAATACTGCAGCGAATGAGGATACAATCGTATCGCACACCTCTGATGCAAGTCGAAAACAGCTTCAATGAATCACGTGTCTGAAAAGATATTTTTTTTGAAAGGTAACGAGCTTACTTTCTTGCCTAACATCATTAAAACATATGCCGTTTCAATCATATGCGGTGTCACACATAAATTGTAAAGCGGTAGCTTGTCATTTAGTGATCATCAAAGTGCCCATCGTTGTTGTCATCAAAGTACCGAACAACCTCTTGAGCTGTAAATTTTTTGAACCGTCTTAGGAGCTAGTATTATTCAGCGCAGGTATCTTCCTCTGGAGAACTTTTTTGTGTTCCTAATCAATAACCTTTTCGCAGTTATATACTGGAAGAAGTAGAGATGCGCTTAGAACAGATCAGTCTACAACCACCTCCTTGATTATCGAGAAGTGGGAGTTTATATTCTATATTCTATGAAGATAATTGTAAGATACTACGTTTTAGCCCATACCACCCATAACATTGTTGATGGATATCGCTTGAACGTGATGCTGATTTTGTTGAGTAGTTGCCTTTCCATCGCTTGAAAGTTGAATGCTGCGCTGCACTGAATGCTGCTAATTTAGCGCTTCACAGCTGAATTTTTTCGCATTTAAAGTGAAGGGCAGCACTGGATATCGTAAGCGAATTTTGAACAAAACATAATGAAAACTTCCGGAGATTACCTTGGACTGTGAAACTGATATTGAGTAGCCAACTCTTGTATGCTGGTATGCACCTTAATAGGTACGAAGCGTACATTTTTTGTACACCCTTTATGACTAATATGCGGGGGAAATTTAAGGTCACGCAGGAGTTTGCAATTTGAAATCTGTTATTGTTTTCATCAATCTTTTCCTTTCCACACACAGTGCTGGCCAAAAGGTTGCAGCCACTTCTAATTTTTGCTATATCTTACTCTGTTTCGCTACAACGAATCCAAATTTCGATATTACATGCAAATCACACCGCTCAACACTACAAAAAACCCTACAGTTTCATGCTTACAGAATGGGGTGAGGGGAAAATGGAAAAAACGGTAAAATCGAGAGTGATCAAAACTTGCAGCTACTTTTTTCTAAAAGTCTTAATTTTTACCTTTCCGTATTTGGCCTACAGATGCATCCGTAGGTCTTAAAATATGCAGTGCAACCAGCCTTCATCAAAAAAAAAGAAATTTTACAAAGCGAATTTGCTTGAACGCCAAATGACCGCGAAAACTAGGCAATCGTTAGGTTGTCGAAAAGCAATTAGCTAATCCGTGCTACTTTGGAAAGGTTGAACCATCTGGACTTTTGGTGGTGGTTTGCGAATGTAACAGAAAGAGCATTACTTGACATGCTTGAAACTCTATCACCATCCTAAATCAAATTTAGACTTCTCAGCTCAAAAATTAACCTCAGAGTTCTAAAAAGTTCTCAAATGTGATGAGATCACTGTTTTTACAAAGACAAGCACTAATCCGAAGCTCGCAGAGCTTTACTGGAAACATGGAGGCGCTACTGACAGAGAGAATTTTTGGCGATTATCACATCTAGGAAATGTTAGTCAAAGAAAATCATAGGGGCCTGCAGGATCGCAAAAGTCGGACGTGCTTACGGCCATTGCGCCGCGCACGTCAGATGTGCGTCCGACGATCAGGTAGGTGCCAGACTTATCCTGTTGAACAGGTTCATTCGGCTCACCACCTTTGCAGTTGGACAATGTAGTGATTTGACCTATGCCGAACAAACCGGCTGAAGCGGATAAGTCTGGCACTTGCCTTAATGACATCGAACGTGCGCGGCGCACGTCCGACTCTCGCGATCCTACAAGCCTCTATATCAGTTGTATAATTCGCGCAAACTTCTCTGTAGCTTTAGCACCTCCATGTTTCCAGTGAAGCTCTGCGAGCTTCGGATTAGTGCTTGTCTTTGTAGAAACAGTGTTTTCATCAAGTAGAACTTTTTAGATTGCTGAAATCGATTTTTGAGCTGAAAAATGCTGTGAGTGTGAATAAAGGTGGTGGTAGATTTTCAAGCATGTCAAGTGATGCTCTTTCTGTCACACTCTCAAACCACCACCAAACGCCCAGATGGTACGACCTTTCCACTGGAGCACGAATAAGCTAATTACTTTCGACAACCTTATGATTTGTCCAATTTTTGCGGTCATTTGGCATTCAAGCAAATTCGCTTTGTGAAATTTCTTTTCTTTCTCGCAGTTTGATGAATGCTGGCAGCAGTGCATATCTCCAGGCTTAGAAGCGCATATCTAACCCAGATAGTGGAAGATGACAAGTTTTTGAAGACGTTCAGCAGAAAGTGGCTGCAAGTTTTGACCAACCTCAATTTTACCGTTTTTGCCAATTTTCTCCCCCCCCCCCCCATTCTGTGTGCATGAAACTGCGTGATTTTTTGACATAGGGTAAGCAGTGTGATTTGCATGCAATATCGAAATTTGGATTCGTTTCATACAAATAAAGTAAGATATAGCAAAAATTCGGAGTGATTGCAAACTTTCGGTAAGCACTGTATGAATGTCTGATGTACGGTATATGCGCGTGCGAATGAAAGGTTTGCCTTAGGTTGGAACATAAATGAAGAGTTCAAACCGTAATGATTCATATTTTTCTTTATTCCAAACAGGCTCTGATAAATCATTGAATAAAACACAGCTCCGAAAATAGCTGTGGTGGGGTTCCCGTTCACCCCACTAACCTTCACGCCCATTTCGGCTGGTTGATGTTCTTCCTGTGCCGAGATAATAGTCCTCGAACCGACACGCGCAACCCCAATCGACGCGCGAGTCCAGTAAGGTGGAGTTTTTCGTGAAGAATGAGAAGTAAAAACGAGGCTTTTGGTAATCATAAGGCTGGATAACTGCCACTTCTGGCTTTGTGATGCTGTTACATCCCATTTTTGCACTACTCCCTTGATGTGGTATTTTTTGGAACAAAACGGTGGCGCTGGCTGCTTCTGTCTGCACGATTCATCTGTCTCTTCACAAATGAGTGTGCATTCTTCGTCTACGGCATGGGTGCCCTCTTCATACAACCAGCAGCAACCCCTTTTTGAATATGGATTTCGACCACCATGTGCTTTCGTACAGCACAAAGATTTCAAACCTCGAAGTATTTCACAAATGCGCAGTCGCTCTCATTATAGCAAGATCTTAGACACGCGTCTCTTCTTCTCTGAAAATTCGGTACATGAATCTTCTACGGAAAGCTGTAGTTTTGTAACGAAAAACGCCGAAATTCGCTGTGTGTAAATTCGCTGTGTACAAAAGAAGTTGATCAGAGAAAGCACTTTAATTTTTTGTAACATAAAAAAAGCTCACCATCTTCGTTAGAGACAGAAGAATCAAGACACTTGAGTTAGACCACATGGACTGAGATCGTAGTTGCTTGATGCAGCCGCTAGTACGTACATGGTGTTGGACTCTGCTTCTTTCCTATAGGTCTTTTCGAACCGTGACCTAGCCACCAAACAAGAAACCGCCTTTTAAGTGCACATTAAGCGTTTTAGATGAGGTAATACATCTCTGAAACACAACACAAAACCAGAAGGTTCTAGTAAATTGCCTTGTGAAAAAATGATTTTGGCCGGATCGCTACTATGTACTATTGTACTTCATCAGTGGTACGGGAGTCTATCACGGCAAGGACACTGCGAAGAAAAGTCTCCCACAAACTTTCTCTTGGAGCTTATTGCTAAAAGCTCGAAGCTTCTGCCATCTCAAATGGAGACCAACATCACAAATCTTACGAACTTTTCCATTTGCTCACACACAATGTATCGGGTCATTCCATAGGTTCGTACCGTTTTCATTCTTGTCCTTATTTTCTAAGTTATCACACTACATTCAGCGCTGAAGTGTCCATAGCCTTCGCAGAAAACACATGGCGGTAAAAGTCCACGCCGTCCAGTATATGCCGAACTAGGTTCGGCCGCCTCGAGTTGCTGAGAGGACTCTAGCCCGCCCTTCCGCGCGACAGGATTAACCTGAGGCGAAAGGACTGGTGGAATGGACTGGTTCCTCTGAAGCTCTGTGACTGACTCTGATATGCGCGTCAGTGGTAAATTACTAGACTCGAGTGACTCTCAGATGGCGAAGGTGTTAGAGACTGCGGTGCTTGGGTGCTTCGGATGGCCTGTTCTGTCTGCATTGGCTGGGTTCCTGGCGAAAACGCGCTGATGTTAGGCGCGGCTGGTGTTGTCGCGACTTGAGGCTGATCATCATGAAATTCTACTCGTACAAATCGTTCCTTTTGTTGTTGCGCGAATGGATCTTCACTATGCGCAATTTCCAGATAGTCTTCGGTAAGCGGACCATAAAGTTGTTCCCCGTAATTTTCCTGCCACCATCTAAGTGCCTGGGTTTAGGTGGTCGGTACGAAGGGGATCTGAACTGGTGGGATTGCGAGCTGCGTATACTGCTTGTCGATCTCGGTGACTTTCTGCCGTAGATGCGTCAGGACGAATTCCATCTGATAGTACTCAAGCGTGCGCGTAAGACGGGTAGCATGCGCAACTGCGGCTGACGCGGCCATAAGCTTTTCCATAATTACGCTTTCGCTAATCTGGTAACCAACTAGCGCATCAAGAAACGATTGCGAGCGCGTGAAAAAGTGTGATAGTAAAGCCCCACTGATGATGTCGCGGTGTACTGTGATGCCTGTGATAATGTGCTGAATTATATGAATGTACGCCATGTACCTCGCGTATGAGGTGTGTTAGGAGCGTAGCATCTGCGGCTTGCGGCTCTGGCTGCGCGCTACCAGACGTATTGATAAACGCGAAAACTCTGCGTAGCTGCGCAGCGGTAAGTTCCTCTACCGTGTGTGGCAATACTTCAACGACATCTTGCAAAGCAGGGATGACATGCGCATGCGCGTCCGGCGCTGGATTGGGCTGTAAAAGTCTCAAGTTAGGATCACTGGGTACGCGAGAACGCAAATCGCGCTGCTTCTTGCAAATGTCCAGGATCTCTCTCCTCCAAATTGTCTTCGCAATGCGCTAGTAGACGTTGTGCTTCGAAGACGATCAATTGCGCAACTGATTCGCTAGATGATGCTGAAGTGCTTGCGCTAGAGGTAGACGTAAGTGGCGAGCGGCTACGCGGTTGTACGCTAGAGCTTGCCGTGCGCGACAGCAACGAGGATGACGAACGCTTCATGATGGCGATGCGGTACAAGTACGTACGGCGCAGCTGGAAAAATGCGCTAATGATTTAGAATATGTATAGCAATAACGAAAAGTGAGGGCTCAATGCAAGAAAGAAGAGTTTGAGAGACAAAAAATTGATAGAAATTTTGGTGTAAAAATTGATATAGTGTTTTGGTGCCTAAAGATTGTGCGCGTTATGTTTTGAAGGGGCGCAAAATGTGTGCGCAACAAGTGGAAGCCCCAAGATGAAAGGAGAATTGAAAAAATGAAGGGTTTTTACTAAGCTTCTTACTTGTATTGTTCCCTCGTAGAAGGTCCTTACTCGGGGTGTCGATAGTCCAATAGATGACAGCTGGTTAACTTTATTGACAGTGGTACTGACAAGTGAGCACGAGTTGACACTAAACAAGTTCATAGTAAAGGGGTACATACAAGGCATGTAAAACGGGTGCACATACGAAGTCAAAATGCTGAATCTACAAAAAAATACAAGAGAAACTATAAACTTATACAAGGGAGCCTATGATGAGCACTATGCGATCAATAAGGTTTCGTAATGAGCGAATTGCATCTTGCGACTAGGTTGACAATCGCGCGTTGCCTGACGATTCGTGCCGGGACCCAGCGCAGTCTAAAGATGGACTTAGACAAGAAAAAATAATTTCGTCACTCATCAAAGCGCGCCTGTAGCGCCTATCTATAGAGAGAAGAGTATACAATAACTAAGAAAGAAAGAGAAAAAGGATTGAAAGAAAGAAAATCAAAGGAAATTAATATGCTTACCTGCTTTACTGCTGCGCTCACTCCTTAGATGTTCCAGAAGGGGTATCCTTTACTGCAAGGTGCTCGTGGCCTCTCTCAGGGATGGTATCGTCATCTGCCACTATCTCCAGAGGTACCAGATGGTTAATTGAACGTACCAGTATCTTTTTTTGGCTATCCGGATCTTGGCCGATCTTACGTTGCCATCGGATGATGTGTGAAGTTCCAGGATGAATGCTAGTGGCCAAGTTGATCGATGCGCGTCCTGTCTGATGAGCACTACTTCTCCTACTTGGGGTGGTTTCCTGCTAGACTGATCATTCGAGCGTACGACCTCTCTCTGCGCTAAGGCATCAAGATAGTCATTCTGCCAAAGCTGCCAAAAATGGTCTAGATCTTCCTGCAGAGACTTATAGCGCGTACGAAGTGCTCGATAACTCTCACTCGTCGCGTTAAGGATCTTCTGGGGCATGTTGCCGGTCAAGCGTGTCACTTGGAAATCCGAAGTATTCAAATCAATAGGTTTTATGGCCACATTCGTATCCGGATCGGATGAGTTCACCGGAAAGAGGGGTCTGGTGTTAAGAATTGCCTCGATCTCGATGATGAGGGTTTCCAGTAGCCAGTGTTTGATTCCGCACCGTCTTCTTCAGCGCGCTCTTAACCGATCCGACTAATCGTTCATAAAATCCTCCTTTCCATGGCGAGTACGGAGTGATGAATGTCCATTTGATGTTGTGGTTGGCACAAAGTTGGCTCATCTGGCTGTGGTCCTTCACGGTTGGCAACTCATTCTTGATAATCTCCTGTCCTAGCTTGAAGGTAGGCGCGTTGTCGCACGTTACTGTATCCGGTTTTCCTCGACGTGCCATAAATCTCCTGAAACTCCTGAAAGCTAGTATGAATTGTAATGTAGAATTGTCTCTTACCATTTCTAGATGGATTGCGCGCGTTGACATGCACGTAAAAAGACAAATCCACACTTTTTGACGCTCAGATGACTGTAAGCGAACAAGAATGGGTCCAAAGTAGTCAAGGCCAATGTGCTGGAATGGGCGACTCCTAGTTACCCTCTGTGATGGAAGGTCCGGTGCGTACGGATACTTATGTGGGCGGCCTTGATACCTTCTGCAAATCACACATCTGGAATCGGAACCACATCGGATTTCCTTTGTTCTTGAATTCGCCAATCCTCTCACGTGTACGCCGGGGGAACTTGGCACGAATGATCTTGAGCGTGCCGATCGCGCTGGAGTCTTCCTTAAGATGTTGAAGCTGGGTCTATGTAGCTCTTATAGCACAGAGTGCCGCGCGTCGTGACACGGCGAATCCGAAGCTGATGGTAACTGCAAGAGCTTGTCCCACAGCTTGTTGCGTAGGATCTCCGGACGACCATATGTGTTATTCAAGATAGCACTGCTTCATCGTAGTTCTCAGCCGTCGATTGAAAGCCAGCGATGATGTTCGCAGGAGGTCCTCCTAAATGGGACTTCAAATACATGAGCTTGACTGGCACAGGTACACTGGTGTTATTGTGCACGGCCGTCGAAAAAAGGTCCCAAAACTCGTAAAACCTGTCGATATCGCCATGAAACGTAGGAATCTCGAAGCTCGGTAGTTTCAACAATTGCTCCACGGACGATTGCGATGAATTGGGGTTAAGAGGAGTAGAAGATACTGCAAAAGGATTCGGTGGGGGGGGGGCAAGAAGGAGTCACAAAGGGATTGCCAAAAGTTGGGGGGTTACTGGGGGAGGCACCGAATCCTTGAGTGGCGCTCGACGCGCGCGGTGGTAGGGTATCAGCTGGCGCGATAACAGGTTCTGATGGGCGATCCTGATTCTTAGACGAAGAGTGGCTCGCGATTTCCTCTCTCACGTCCTGCGCAGGCTGATCGGTCGGGATGGGGTCTTGGGTAGGATGAGGAGAAAGGTTAACAGATGAAGAAGAAGGAGGAAGAACCGGAACACGCATAGAATACAAAACTTCCGAGCTCGGCAAGAGCTTGATCGCAATATCAAGACGAGCATGGAGAGTGTCAGCTTCCTCCATGAGTTAATCCAGTTCACCAGCGTCCCAATGATCCTGAATCTGCTGAAGGAAGGGAAACTCGCCCTGCACGTCAGGATTTTGACGAGCAAACTCTTCGGCTTTCTCTCTCTGGGCGCGTAGATGCGCAATAGCACGTTCAATGAGAGCAAATTTCAAAAAAAGTGAACTCTTATGACTCAAAATAAAGTGTGGATCCTTACTTGCCTCCATAGCAGGATCCAGCGGTTGAAGGGTGGCCTCATCGACTTCCGAGATCTTCTCACGAAGTGCTTTGGCGGCTTTGGTAATTCGTGCTTTATAGCTTCCGAGAAGCGATATTACCTGAAAGAAAAAAGAAAGAAGAACAGTCTAGTATGTAAAATACAAACAAACGATAAATATGACATGAGTAATATGTGATGTGAGTAACCTAGCCCAGCCTAAAACTAAAAGGGGTAAACCACTATTGGGGCTACTTACTTACAGGCGCAAAGCAACAACTACGACAGGGTGTCACTAGAGACAGAAGCGCTGATGGCGTTTGCGCGAGTAACAAGATGAAGGAATGGTGACCTGGCCGGAGGCTCTTCGATAGTTATCCAGGGCTCCTATCGGCGAGTAGGAAGATTCTGGGCTCCTGAACCACCTTTCCAGAGGGCCGTGCCGTAACGATGATCTTCCCATGCCGACGACGCCTCGTCAGTACTAGAGGGTGTGGGCATAGTCTTGTTGGTCAGGCCCAGAACGGGTCTGGTAGTGCCGACCCACAATATCGGATGCCAGGCCGGTCCGTGGACTCTTGGCCAACAAGACTCACCAGATGAGCTGGCACCCTTAATGACTAAAAAGGGGGGGGGGCTATACTGGGGCGCGGCCTTAGTAGCTGGGTGCCCTCCACAATTAGGCCTCAAGCAGCTAAGACCTAAAAGAATGCCCCTTTTACGAGGAAGAAGCAAAGGTGGGAACTATGGGCCCAAATTAAACAAGCGGAATTGCGAAATATGACTGTGAAAGCGCGAAAAGAACTAAGGAAAGTAGGAGTGGCGCGAAATTTTAGGGACCCTCTAGTTCTCCCTCCGGAGATGCTCCCATGCTAGCGCCCCCAATACGCAAATCTCCGGTGTGGTTCAGGCTTTTAGATGGTGAAAGAACGGTGTCACAGCGCTTCTGTAGCAGCTCACCGAAGCTGTTCTGTCCTCATACGGCTCGATACAGCTCGTCCAGCTCCGCGCCACGACTCGACAGATGCGCGCGCGTAACCACTAGGGCTCCCGTGGTCGAGCCCGCCGGGGATGACAACTGCCCATTACCTGAAAAATTCACAAGCGCGAACAGGCACCAATCACTGTATGAAATAAACGTTGCCGGCTGAGCTTTCTAGTCAGCAAGAGCTGCACCATCCTGCCAGCCATCCACCTCACGTTCACAACACACTAATGGCTACCATTCCTGCATTCTGCCGCTGTTCGTCCGAGTGTCTTCTGGCGTCTTTGTTGTTCGATTTTCTTATTGTGCTGAGCGTGGTAGACTTAGGTCCGTTACGTACGCATGGAAGATGGGATGACGCGTTCCCATAACGGCGTCCAGATGTTGTCCAGTTCGTCCTCGATCTGCGCGTCCATACCATACGCGGGCGGAATCCTCCATCGTCCATGCGCTCGGCGTCGATGCACCATAACAACTTGTTTTGTGGTTTTTAATATAAAAAAGAATTTGATAAATACTAATTAGGAACGCAAGAAATTCAATTTCTTTTTGTTCTTTTTCTACACTATCCGGTTTCGGGGCTTAGAACTATACCGGTAGTGCGGCTTCCTTGGTGCCCCTCGTCAGTAGTTCCCAAGGAAGCTTCAAAATTATCAAATGAAAATCTAAGATAAGATCTAAAACAGAAAATGGCGTTTAAAGAACTTGAGTAAAGAAGGTGCAAGTCGTTAACATGTACGTATACGACAAAATAAATGGCAAGTGTCATCCGAGGAAATAGCGACCTCTTTTTCAAACTGGAGTACTCCCGCCGTGACCTCAGAGCGCGCTAGCGTGAGCCCAATTGTCATGTAGGTCATGTAAAAGAGGCAAATGTGTGTTACTAGGAACTCCGTACTTACGCATTATAAATGGTCTATCGAATAGTATACGATAAAGTTTACTAATAAAAATACGGTATTCCCATCCATTAGTTTTTAAAGTCTTAGCTAGTTCTAATACTCTTTCCTCAAAATGTGCATAATTAGAGCAATTTCTATACATTCTAAGAATTTCTGAAGTGCAAGTATTGTACAATATATATCTGGGAATATTAGACTCCCAATGTGGATATCTAAATACTTTGAAATTATAGTCATCTGTCTTATTATACATATTAAACTCAATTTTATTATTGGAAATTTTGAGAGTAAGGTCTAGAAAATTTGTTTTTGTCAAGCTAAGGTTAGTTTTCTCTAATTGTAAAGAAGGATGATAGATTTCTCTTATAGTTCTTTCGAAATGCGAAGCATCTTTAGAGACATGTAATATGTCATCTATATATCTGTGAGTGTGATTGTACAAGTTAGTGCTATGACTCTTGTATTCTTGTATGTCTTTTTAAGAACTCAAATTCCATGTATGATAGAGTAAGGTCTGCTATCTGTGGGCTACACGAAGCTCCCTGAGGTATACCCTTTATTTGTTTATATATCACTCCACCAAAATACAGGTAGCTAGACTCCAGTATAGAATCTATTATATAAATTATGTCTTCAAGTTTATAACATCTGCCCTGTGCCGTATCTGCATTAACATACGATACTTTATTGTTATATATTCTGATATATTTATATCCTCTCATGCATAAGCTTATAAGTTTTTTGAGATTAGATTTGACCACGTCGTGTGTCAGATTGGTGAACAAACTAGAAAAGTCGGCTGAATATATTTCTAATTGTTCATTTGCTGTCAGCAGTTCTTTTAGCACTTGATCACTATTTTCTATAGCCCAAAAATGTTTTATTCTAGTTCTTTGATAAATAACTTTACAATAGTTCATGAAATGCTTTCTAATATGTGCAAGCATTGATTGCAGTATCTTGTAAAGGGGCTTAAGCGTAGATCTCTTTGCTCCGGTAATAAACCGGAACTTAATGGGTGTCTTGTGCATCTTTGGAATACCATATATTCTAGGTATAACATTCTGCTCTTCTACATGTTCCATTTCTTTTTTCATCATTTGAAAATAAAATTTCTTGCATGTAAAACTGTAATTTGATGTAGCCGTATCTATTGGAGCAATGACGAAATGACGTTGTAATACTCTGAGAGCATTCTTGTCTATAACATCGTTCTCAACCTGTTCTGGATTGTACAAATCAAACATTTTAGCTTTAACTTTCTTTATAAAGTGTTCCTTCAAATCCTTAGCAAGTTGTAGTTTGATAGAAGAGTTAACTTCAAATTTTTTGATGTACTTTGTTGCTATCTGTATTACCATTTCATCTATCACTTTCAGAATATCATCTTTTGTGATAATTGTATGCGATCTGTACTTAGTACCTTTCTGAAAGATAGATCTTAACCAGGGTAAAGCGGGGGGTGCGGCACGCCGCAGGGGGGGGGGTCGTTAGGGGGAGGGGTAGGTAGGGGGGGGGGGGGTCGTATCGACCCAAGGTCAAAAGCACTTGTACAAGCTGTGTGACTAAATTGACTTGATGAAAGCGCTGTTGAAATCCTGCAAAATTCAAGTTCAACGACACAAACTTGCAGATACCGTATGCCTACCGTAACTTACCGTACCTCTAATCAAGCATAATTGTCGTAATCCGCGTGTCGAATAACCCCTATGCGCCAAGTTTCAGCGAACTCTGAGGTCTCCGAGCAGTAAACAACCTTGTATAAAGCAGTAATTTAAAACATGATTAACTTCATCTTAACGGTGAGTAAGCTACCTCTTCTTGCACTCAATACAAAGCACTTCTCCTTCTTTGTCCACCTCAGGAATCCCGCTTCAGAAGACCTCCAAACTATTGAATTAGAAGCCAACCAAAATGTCGTTTTTCCCATTTTTCGCTTTTGATCGCTGTGCTTTCACCAAATATTACTCAGAGCTAAGAAGACGAATCAGGCTCAAAACATCCCTATGGAATCTACGAGGTTTAGGCTATTGATTCATATAAATATTGTCCGCTAAAAATGTTTTTTTTTTGATATAGTTAATGGCCTGCGGCACCCTCCCCCCCCCCTCAAAACCTGCGGCAGCCGCAATAGCAAGGTAATGTAGTATGTCATAAATTCGCCTTGAAGTCGAACTACTTTTTTGGATTCATATTTAATGCAATCTGAAGGAATTTATGTAAAGAAAACAAAAAACGCAGATTGTCAGTCACATTCTGTTCGAAGACTAGTGGGGATATCGCATATATGTGCAAACTGGCCTTTGTCGTACTGTTACCGTAACTCTACAGTTTACCACCACTGCAACAGAAAATATTGTTTCTGTAATGGGCACATCGAGTAAGTCCTCCACGCAGAGCTTCAGGTGCCAGACTTTCTACCGTGTACCTATCGTACCTCCCTTCCAATATATCAGAAAACAGTCCACGTCGAGCTGAGTCGAACGGTGTCCTTGGATTCGGAATTCGTTCACACTGAAGTGATATGTGGCCCGACGACGGTGATGCTACACGAATCAGGCGACCGTCATATAAATCACGCGACCGTCGCTTGACTAACGTAGTCGTCGCCCGAGTCACGCATCGCGCGCTACTTCGATTCGCGTCTTGTTTTCAAAAAATGCGAACAGTATCGTACATATAGGCTATTCATCGCACGCAAAGACTGGACGCTTGCGGAAGCTTGAGGGAGCTTGCGCATGGGAGAGACGGCAGACAGTGAGAGTGATGAAAGAGCCCTCGGTGGCCAGACGCAGACGTGCCCGTAGTTACGCCCTGTCTTTGCGTGCGATGAATGGCCTATACTTACTTCAAGACAAATGTAGCACGCTCGAGAATATTTTTGTTTTCTATAGCGTACTCAGCATAACTAAACTTTATAACAAAAAGCGCTAAACTTCAGTAACAACCATTTCATGCGCTAAATACCATAAGAGGATTTGAAGTAACTTTTTTGTGACAAGTTTTTTTAGAACTTGAACTGTTTGTGTGAATTAATTTACTATGCCTGCATGAGTGAGCCCTGGGGCTTTAAAACTTGCAAAATTCTCATTCAGTCGGTTGACACTCCATATTTGGCAGTACGATTTTGTACAGTTAACTAGTTTTTGATGACCTCGATGCAGATTTGCAAGACTCGCATCATGCTGTTGATCAAAAGACTTCTCACAATTTTAGGCATTGTAATTAACGCCTATAAACATTGAAGCTAGAATTTTTTTTTACTAATTTTGACCTACAATTTTTATTTCCAATGCTTATATTGTTAATGTTATTTTGTGGTACGATCAACTTTGCTATTATTTGCGAAAGATATTCATTCAATAACTGTTCGTTTTTGCTGAGCAAAGCAAAGTTGTTTAAACGCTTTAATTATTGGGTTGTTGCAAAAATAATGTCCGTTTTGCAAATTTTCACTTTGGAAGGCTATAACTTCGTTCAGTTTCCATATTTTCAAACGCAGTTAAGACCATCAGAAACATCAAACTTTTCGTAACTTAACGCGCACCTGCTCATGCTGATATCGCATAAGGGGAGAAAACTATGCGTCAAAAAACTGAAACTTTTTCTTTTGAAAACCTCGTCTTTAAGAGCTTACAACTCCCTTCAAGTTTTGTTCGTATGGCTGGCAATCAGCTTATCTTGTAGCCGCAGGCCATGCGGTTACGTATGCATAGAAAAGACTCCAAAGAAGGAGTTCTGCGAAAAAAAAAGATAAAAATTCAAAAATGTTCACTTTTTTGAGCCTACTTGTTGTAGGCTTGTAAGTGCCAAATTATGAAAATTTGGAGTTCTTCGCGCATCCAACAGCTAAGTTTCTCTTCAGATGTTGTAGTTGAGGTGTGCTAATCTCAAGCTTACAGAAATGAGCGAAGCTTTGGCGATTGCCTTAATTGTGGGAAATTTCTGACCCATAGAATAGTAGCAGCAAGTACCTATTTCGAAGCGTCAATTTCTCAGTCCGGATATCTCCAAAAAACTACTTAAGCACGCAGTAAGTAAATAATCTTCAACCAATATACTTGCTATGTTTTCAGAAGAATTCGTTCATTTACTTTTGAATTGTGGTCAAGAAAGTGAAAGCTATGAGATTTCGATTTTAAGTGCGGATGCGCAAAATGCTGGTGAAATTTACGCAGATGAGGATAGCAGCTTAATTTCACCATTGCTAGAAACTGCACAAAGAGAGCTTTCCAATGATATACAGATTCTGTATCGAAAAAGAAAGTTTGATGGAAAAAAGTTGTTTGGAATATAGGCTTAGAAAAACGGACATTATTTTTGCAACAACCTAATACATTTAAGCAATCTACTATGGTAAAGGTGCAGAAGCACTCCTATCAACAAAAATATCGTTCTTCAAAATCCTCCAACTCTACATTTCCCACACTCAACTATACAGGGTGTCCCAAAAGTATGTATCGAACGTTTGATCGTTAATAACTCTCTTCCCAAGAAGTCTTTTGCCTTGCTTTAGGTACCGTTTTGTAGAGCTGGCTTCAACTTAGATTTGCACTATAGAACGAATCATTCATCTCTCTTCATTACTGTAGGATTACGGTAGAAACTTGAAACATATGGTGTTAATGTGAAAAAAGCTGCCGTTTCAAAATTTTTCAAAAAATCGTGAAAACTTGTGTAATAGGGTTTTTATGGATGCTGAGTTCAATAATTAACTATTCACAAGATTACGAAGCTTTCTAAACGGTGCAATCCCACTTTTTAGGAACATTGAAAAAATGGCCGCTACTTCTTACCTGGCATAACTCTTCAATGAAGCATCATAATAAGTTGGGAACTTTACAGTTATAATCAGCAACTCTAATTAGCCTAGTGTAAAAGTTTTAAGGCTGTTTTGTTTCCTTTCTGGGGCAAAATATGGCCTTTCATTGCTTAAAACCCTCCTTGAAGTTTCTACCGTAATCCTACAGTAATGAAGAGAAATGAGTGATTCGTTCTATACTGCAAATCTAAGTTGAAGCCAGCTCTACAAAACGGTACCTGAAGCAAGGCAAAAGACTTCTTGGGAAGAGAGTTATTAACGATCAAACGTTCGATACATACTTTTGGGACACCCTGTATTATATTACTTGTGATAAATAAGGCTTAATCTCGGATCTCACACTGTCAGACTGATGACTGTGTTTCATAGCAAACATGCGTTCTTTTGCAGAATGCTGTTCATCTTATTTAAGTTACTGTTTTATGGTAGTCAAGCACAAACTCTTCGTCTTCAACCAGATGATGTTAAAGATTTAAATACCGATCAAAAAATGGCGACATTGCTGGAGTATTTTTAAACATACCATATGCTGCACCTCCAGTCGGGAAATTGTGATTCGAAGTAATACGAAATGTTGAGTTTTTGGTTTTTTATACAGCTTTTCCTTCCAGATACCCCTCCTTTAACATCATGGAACGATGTTCGTAATGGAACTGCTTTTGGGGCCACATGCCATCGGCATGCTTATCAGGCAGCATTTCAGCGAACAAGGACTGCTTGACGCTTAATATCATAAGACCAAAGAAAGAGTTCGAACTGACTCATTTTTTGAATTTGGGTAGGCGGAGGGGTAGTAGGATTTCAGAAAGGGCATCGGGTCAGCCATGCTCAGAAATGTATAAATTCCATAATGATCATATTAATTCGAAATTTTATTTCCTTAAAAAATGATCAAACAGCTTTTCTCAAGATTATTTGTTGAGTTATTTAATTATTCACAAAATTTGGGGAAATAGTTACTGCTCATTTGTCATAGGCATCAACTTGTTTGCACAACTTTATGGCCCTCTATAAGGCTGTCTTATAAGCTCCATCCGTTTTTAATTCCAATCTCAATAAGTCATACAATTCTTATTTCTAAGTAGCTTTTAAGGTACCCTTTGATAGAGCGAACCAAGCTCTACAAGCTGATGTTCTTATTTCCGCACCAGTTCGAATCCATCTCGAACTTGTAGCCAAAAAAGAATGGAGAAGAAAGAATAACTCCGTTCAAAGAATTCTAGAAAATTCCTGAATTTACATATACTGGTGCTGTAGTTTATCCTCGAATAGGATTAACGAAAACGAAAATTTCCATATTTTTGCCAAAGTAATGCTGTGTTGTTCCCAGTTTAGTAGCTGTATACTGCAAACCATTAGAAGTCAAAACTGAATCAGCTCTAAATCAGCTCTCTACAATTAATTCTCGAGAATTACGTTTTAGTGTGAGACACACTACTAAGGAAAGCTAAATTCGATGTTTCTCGAAAACAAAAGTCTGTAGAAAGCTAAAAGTTCAGTTTTGGGCTTCTACTGGTCTGTTGTATACAACTAACTAAAGTGGGTACAACACAACATCTTTAGCGAAAATAAATTTTTTTTTGCTTTCATTATTCCCACTCGAAAGAGAACTACAGCAACAGTGTATGTAAGTGTCTGATATGGATAGAGTATCTGTAGCAAGTTAGGAATTTTCTGGGATTGCTTTGGACGGAGTTACGCGATTTCTTTCTCTCTTTTTCAGGCAGTTGAATCCTTTCAGTTTTTGGCTTCAAATTTGAGATAGATTTAAATGTTGCGAAGGCGAGGGCATCTGTAGAACTTGCTTTGCTCTGTCAAACGGTATCTTGAAACCTATCTGGAAATAAGAAATGGACGATTTATTGAGATGAAACAGACTGAACTTATGAAACAACTTGGTACATATACGTTAGCTAAGCACTCAACAAAAACCGGTGGAAACTCCAGCATTCTGAGAACAGTTGGCTTGTCCTAGCTCAAGAGCGACGATTGTGGGAAAAACGTAAAGGCTTCTTAGAACAGAAGATAGGTGTGGACAAAAAAATCGAGAAGGACGATCGCACGGAGGCACATATCCTCGTAAACATACAAGCAGAACGGCGCTCATCTTCCGACCCTGCTTAAGATCAAGGCTTTTTTTTTCAGTAAAAGTGAAAGCTGAGTAGGAAGATGAGAACGAAGTGAAGTTTAAGGGGAAAACGTTGAAAACCGTCAAAAATTTCCAGCTCCCGCACCTCATGCGGATGGCTGCAGCGCATGCATCTTTTTCAGGCAGTTCTAGGAAAACTGTGCTGGCACTGCTTCGGAAATTCCAAAGCAGTGCCAGCACAGTGCGAACCCAGCCTTACCACACGACCACTTTGAAGTTGTCGAATTTCCGATTTGCCGGTTGAGCATCATAGCTCCCTTTCAAAAATTGCTGGAAACAGCGTTATTAAAATCAGAGGTTTAAGCTGTTTCCAAATGTTGTCTTGTCTCAAAAGGATGTATCAAGTGGGGCGCTCTTTCTTGTAAGTCAAAAATTTGATTTCCGTAGATTGAGATATCGATGTAAAAATTATGTAAATTCCTGAAGCACAAGCGAGTGATGAGGCTGAAAATAGACTGAACAACATAAATAAGGCGGCTATGAGACGAACACTCTGGGTGGATATCAGTTAGCTAAAAGTAATTTAGTTAGAGCTATTTTGATCAGAAAATCGACCAGAGAACGTAAGGGAGCCAAGCAAACTCGACATTAGCCTTATGCCTTCCAAAAAAATCCACTGTCCAGAACAGTTGAGATTATTGGAGAGGTCGCAGCTTAAGGTGTCAGAGAAGGTGGAAATGAAAGAAGATTGAGGAGTAAAGCCCAGGTTACTCAGCCTAAAACAGGACAATACCATCGTGGATGGAGCGAGTAGTGTGAGTAATAACTTGGTGGCATCAGCCTTTTTCATGATAAAGAAATGATTACTTAGGGAATTTTCAGGTAATAGGTCCTTGCACTAAATGAGCGGAAATCCGAGAAAAGAGTGAGGTGCTATACAAGCCAAGACTGCGCTTAAAACATGGGGAAAGAGCCGCACAAGGAACTTCACATTATAAAGTCTATTCGACTTTGGCGACTTGTCAGGCATGCAGTCTTCCCACAACATTTGAATGATGTATAATGTTGCAGGGTCTTGTCATGAATTTGCGGAGACCTACAATCAAAGCCAAACGTCTTGTAGTCTATTAACGCCTGTCTGCTCTTATCTCTTTGCTCGTCTGCACCTAAACGTATCGCTTACTACCTCGCGATACGCACGCTCTTTACGGCACGTCTGGCTCTTTTACCCTTTTCTTCGTTGTTTCAGTTGTTTCAGATTCAATCCTTACAAATCTTACATCATTTTGTAGCTCTTAACGTCTACCTATGCGCTGACAACGTCAATTTTAACTTTTCTGAAAGAAATCGAGCACAAGCGTGCTTTTGGAATCTTTTTGTTTTTCTTTCAAACTAACTCTTTTTATGCGTTTTTCGTACATTGAGGAGATCTTCTTCTGCTTCAATGGGCAACGTTTTCAAGCTTAATTCTTCTACTCCGGCGAAAGGTCTAATAAAATGCTGCAAAAGCTATTGTTTGTTTATGATTTTCTCATTGAATATGCAACCATACTTTTCAGATTGAATGGTTTCTCGCTTAGAATGATGAGCAAAGAGATAATGTTGGATGTTTATGAGCAACGTAGGCAATGTCGCCCAAACAAAAACAGCAAGTTAGAGGAAAAGGAAAGGAAATATCATGAAGCAAATCGATGTTGTCGTGCATTTTGAGTGCGCAAGAATAAAAATCCTTAATCTCCACAAATAATTATTTTCTGCTTTCTTGGCGATCGCCATATACGAGCCTTGCCTAGCTTTCTGGAAAAAAATTTTTTTCTTGTTGTTACCCGAGCTATAAATCGGAGTCCTAGAGCGAAAAATTTCGACTCGAGATACCGCTAAAGGATTTCAATCGTATTACTGCATTTTTACCCGATTTGCAACAGTTTCCTTTGGTTTTGCTGATCAGTTTACATCTTTTCTCTACTACAATTTTCTCCAGACAACCTTCACTGTTTATAGATCCAGTCAACCTTCTTTTGAGACTCTATCCCTAATCTGTCGAGGGCATGTACCGAAATCACAGATCGCTGCGTATGTGTGGGTAGTCGGTACCAAAGCTGTGGGATAGTCGTATACCACTGCAACTCAGTCCCGATACCGAACCGTTATTCAGCAGTACTGCATAGCAGAATGCAATAATCGCTCATTTGTCAAATTGGGATTATCGGTATTGTACAAAAACAAATCATAAGTAAAGAAATATGATATTATCTCGGCACAACATTAGGCTATTTTGAAAGTCCTGTCAACACAAATGTCAACTACCAAACTCTGCGTGACAACTATGAATTAATGGTTACAGTTCCTCCTTAGCATACTCTGATTTGTCTACTGGAAGCAGTTGAACTAAGTCAAATCCATATTTCTTCATCTTGTGCCAGAATGAAGCTGCTTCTGAACAAAAACAATGAGCTTTGAGGGCGACTTACAAAAGGTTGAAACTAAAAAAAACAAAAGGATGTCTTTTCAAGGGAATGAAAGCTTCCCTTGGAAAGATGCAGTTTTGCTTTTCCAATCCGAGATGGGCGACAACAAATTATTTTGAACATGCTTGACGTCACCCACGCGGTTCGAAAAATTTCTTGGGATGGTTCCCAAAATTTTTGCGTCCTTGCAATCGCAAGTTTTTCAGAGTGGTTGGCAGCCATTTCGCGAATTTTTTTTGCAATGCTAATCTGTATCATAAAATTGTCAAGATTATTTTTCTGAAATTAGTTTTTGGCAACAAGTGTAAGCAAGTTACTAGCAAGTTACGCATTTCATTAACTCATGTAGTGATTTTCTAGCTCGCAATTCATTTGGGAGTGGGGTCCTCCTCGCGCCCCTCGGTCCTCCACCAAAAAGAAGATAAGTTAGGTTGACAAGATAATTTTTGTTCGATGAATGTTGTTCAAAAAGTTCAGCGAGTTGACTTGTTTATCATAAGAAAATTTTCTATGTATGTAGTACTGTTTATTTCACCATTGGCAATCACCACTGATGGCCCTCCACTTTTGCTGCGCTCCTCTCTCGTAAGAGCCTCAGATCAATAATTTTTTTTACGAATATCGCCTAGGGTCCTCTGAAATCAACTGATAAGACACACGGTCTCTCACATGACGGTGCACAGGTGATTTCAATGCTTCAAGGCTGGGTACTTTTCGATTAACAAAGGAACCCCGATTAGTCGAAGTGGCATTTCCAAATGAGTCTTGTACCACTTTAAAGAGCATCAAACGGTGACTCCAAATCTGATTTTTTCTATCTGCCGAGCGCCTCTGCATGCCGAGTTATGAATGTTTTCTTGGTGCGAAAAATGAACACATAATCCAGATGAAATCAAATTTTACGGTCTTTCCAGCGCTTAAATAGAGCAGTGTTAAGCATGAGTGTTTTGGACAGAAAGTATGGTTCAAATGGATTGTTCTTATAATCTTCATTGGGTCATTTAAGCAACTCTGATGAATTTTGTGCTAATTACGCATTCACTTTTTCAACCCAAAAAACGCCTATAACTCGACGTCCAGAGGAGTGGGAATCGACGTTTATGCTTTTTATGGTAATATCAATCTCATGTGAAAAGGCCAGTTTGACCAAACGAACCTCCCTTATAAGATGAACCATATAGCGGACGCCATTTCACCTTCCGTAAAGACACTTGAAGAATCTATAAGAATAGATTGCCAAATGACCCGTTCCTTGGCTTCCGGTCCTTGGCACATATTTGTAAAAACGGCAGTTCATGAGAATGAATTCAAAAGCGAGCTCTAGTCGTTCTTTGACAGCAAATTGGCTGTTTGAAAGAGAGGAATCCACAATTCGCCTGAACTTTGGCAGAGGATAAATGATACCGATAGTCGATGTACTAGTGATTGTAAGTTACTTATGTCAATAAAAAGATATTGATCAGAATTTCTGAAATGTGAAAAAAATTATCAGCCAACGTGATACTTACATCTCGAGTTATAACAATGCTAAAAACTCATAGTAAGTGACTTGGGTAGGACAAAAGTTTTCGGAGTTTTTATTCTGTTTTTCAAACGCAGAGCTGCTTGAAGCTCACACCAAATGTGCTTAAGGCCCACCTTTATGTAATTCTGTCTTCTTTTTTGGATCGGACGAGATCTCTAAGTAGCTGATACTCTGATCAGCGCTAGTTTCCGGCCACAGTTCCAAATCTGCAGGACGTCTATCGAAGGAATAGTTTCAGTGTGAGAGTATTGTTCAACCTTAAACTCACCCTTTTTTCACAAATTCAGCAATGGTATTTTGTAGAATTTCCGCCACTTTCTTGTCATTTTCATAGCTCTTCAACAGCCTCATCGCTTTCACACCAACAGCGTAGTAATAATCGCTTGCGTGTGTTGCTCCTGAATATTGAGGCGTTTTATCAAACTGTTCTGTATTTTAGCACCTATCATAAGTTTGAGTCAACTTGGATGTAAATTATATTTTAGAAAATGGATTTCTTACTTCTCAAACGTTTGGGAATTTTAGCGTCGAAACTCTCATCGTTATGGTGATCGAAAACGTATGTGTACACCTTCCAACCAGCCTTACTTCGAGCGAGAATGCCATCTACAGCCGGAATATTGAATAGTACATCACTAACAAACTGCAATTTGCCTTTTATGAGAAAAAGCTTAAAATGCTAAATTTAATCCACCTCCACGTAACGATCAAGATAAAACGCAAAATTGTCCTCTGCTTCCCTGTCTACATAATAGGTAACAACTTCATCAACTAATTCATCAAGATGATCTCCAACATAAACCACATCGATGAATTTCTGAAATTGGTTTTGGATGCATGCAGATATAATTATAATATCTGCACTACCTTCAAAGTGTCTACAAGCACGATTCGATTGAACTTGCTGAAGTCTGATGTATTGACTTTGATAGAACTGAGAAAGTTGAATGGCGTGTTTAGCACGGCTAAATACATATGGTAAGATCTATTCCAGCTTCCAATGGGACTTTTTAGTAATAGGTTGGCACATAAGTTTTGCAACTGAGTCCATAACTTTTCCCTCCTTTGATGTAGCTCTTTTTTGATATAATGTAGATTAGTTAGTGAGATGCAAGTCTGCGCAAACCGTTTCCTTTCTGGTAACGAAATGGCCGAATTTTGGTCACTTTCAAAAAGCTGGTCAAATCAAAAATTTCATACAAAATAATGAAGCCGTTCTCAGCCTGCATGAAACATATCAAAAGGAAACTGTACAGAGATGGTTTCTACGTAAACACCAAAAAGCTTTACACGTTTCGGCTCGATGCGTTCAATGCAGGCTGAGAACGGCTTAATTTTTATTTTTAGCCAGCTGATATATTCCACTTGACCGGCTTTCGGAAAATGCCCAAAATTTTCCCGTCCCGCCACCAGAAACAAAACGGTTTGCGCAGATCTGCAGCTCATTATCTACTTGACATTTAAATATAGAGAAGCTAAGCGCCTTTCAAATGCAAACGGCGGAAACCGCGTGGCGGTCCCGCAGCGAACGCTCTTCCAAATAGCACCTTTAGATTACTGGTTCACTAGTTTTATCAACAAAAAAAAGAGAGCGCTACATCCAAGGATAGGGAAGTTATGAAATAATTTGCAAAATTTGTGCGCCAACCTAATAATTTGTACATACTATAGCACCGATGCTTTGTCTTAAAAACGTTGCAGAAATTTCTCCTGGTTCAGAAAAGCATAAAAAACTCAATTACTTTTCGCAAACAATAAGCGGTCCATCTAACTTTCTGTTCATTTGCAATACTTTGGGGAATTTGATGGTTTTCAATGAGCAACGCTTACTTACTGAAAAGAGAAGCTTCCTTTGCTGTTATACCGACAATACAATTTTTTGGAGGTGCGGAAGCAACCAGGTCATTCGGGTGTTTAAGAAACTCTCCGTCAATCACCGGTCCCCATTTGACAAAATCTATCCCATCCACTTTCACGCCATGAAATATTCTGTTGTCACTCACTCTACAAAGCCGGTAAAATCTGTGCACTCACCATTTCTCTGGTGGCGGCAGCGATTTCTTCAATGCTTTTATTTTTGAGGCATTGCTTGACATTATCAGCACATCCTAGTCTCTGTAACAACGTCATATATATCATTTCTAATGTTTTAGATGAAAGTAAACCGACAGTCGCTAATTTGATTGAACGATCAACCACGTTACTTCCAATCGTCCATGATGCCCACGGTGAACCAGATGATTCTATTGAGCCTGCTAAGTACTCTGCAAAATGATCATCAACTGAGAGCTTGAAAATCAGTTGAGCACCTTTCGCATTTGTAAGAAATCATCTTTTTTTTCTCAATCGATCGATAAAAGTGGAGCACTGAAGCACGACAGATGCGATACTGGTGCACGCCGTTATATACAGCATCTTTTGGTATGAAGGCTAAGCCGTTTGTCAAATGTGTCAGGATAATTTGTCAGGAGCACTATTGTATCATTGTCTTCGGATTATTATATTTTAATGCTGAAGTGGCTGCGTTTGAAATTCGATGCGAAAACTGGAAAAATCGCACATCAAAACGAGGTGATTCAAAAGGACATTTGTTATTGAAGTTAATGAATCCTAAGTGGAGGTGCATTCAAACCTGTGGACATCGTATGCTCACTGGTAAAGTTTATCTGGCAGCAATTTCTAAAAAGATCTTGTCATGGTACTCGTCATTCAACTTCTAAGCAACTGTTTATGTCCCATTGCATCACGCAATGGAAACAAATTAGTGGAAGGAATCGATGTTTGAAACTGATAAAAAATGACTTTCACAAATGATGTTTCTAGTGTCATGACTCAATCGTCAAAATTTTTTCACAGTCTGAAGCCACTACTATTTATAGATTACACAGGCATGCGGATGGAGGACATTAGGTCGCCGAATTTGGAAGAGTCCCGCGCGGATTCCCTGCAGGAACGCATGTCCGTGTATATACAAGGGCGCGTATTTGTCGCAAATGACCGCGCGGACCGCCCTCTTTCGGCGACCTAATGTCCTCCACCCGTGGCATGCAAATAGATGACATATTGAGGAGATTGAATAACATTTCTGGGCTCAAGACAAGTGAACTTGTATAGAAATGATGTGCAGGTGAAGCTAAAGTTCAAGAAAGCTATCTGAAAGCCAAATTCAAGTTATTTGAGAACTTATCTGCTTAAGTTATCTTCACATTACCAAATTATTTGCAAGTTCTTTTTCAACCTCGTAGGTGAGTCGTAATAAATTCACAGTGTCGACAGACAACGGCATACCCCGGCTCACTGGACTGAGTATCAGTTGGCCGGATGCTGCACCACCTGCACTATCTCCCCAAGTGGTGATGCGTGACGGATCACCGCCAATGTTTTTCGCGTTCGAGTGCACAAACTGAATTAGCGTACTTGCAGGACTACACACATGGTTCGAGAAAAACAAGATATTACCCTGAGGGCTTCTGCCATGTCGTACAAGCCCAGGTTACCCGGAATTCGCTCATCTCCAGTGGAAAAGAACCCTAAATCAGAATTTTAAGAAAGGAATGTGATAGACAATAGTATTTTAATCACTCATTTTTCTGAACTATCGCAAAATGGGAGAAAATAGACTCCTTACATTACTGGTGTTTTTACATGGGCAATATGCGCAATACATACCATAAACGGCAAGACGATATTGTATTGTAACTATAATAATATCTTTGCTTATGTAGGTGTCCGCAAGAGCTTTGTATCCACTTAGGACTGCCGAGAGCATCTGATATCCTCCGCCATGCACAATGAACAAGATAGGTAGTCCTTCTCCAATTTGTTGAGCCTGCAGCACTATCGGCAGACAGGTAGGGAACAGCAGATATACCTTTTTGGGCCTTATTATGTTCAATGTCAGACAGTCTTCACTAGCACTCTGCTCTCCTAGTACCGCTTCTGGGACAATAGGAATACATGCAGGTCCAAAGACAGTTCCATTACGTATGCCATCCCACGGTGTTTGAGATTTGGGTTTCTTAATAAGGAAACATGTTTTATAGATGAGAAAATTCTGATTACCTCAAATCGTAGATCTGCTATTGGAGGCAAAGCAAATGGAATATTCAAGAACACTTCAGCAACATTACCACTTTCTGTTTTATACTCAAAACCTTGCACCTTTCCTTGATCTAGCTGTAGAATTTGAGCATTTGCTGCCGTCCAGATACAGGCACACAAAATCATGAGCCAGGTCATCCTTGACTAGAATGGATCTATATACATAAATGTAAAGAATGAAACATGAACAAAAAGTGAGAGGAATTTTAACAGATTATTTGATTGTACTGTCCACTTGCATGTTCTTATCACTAAAGAGTAACATTGATAAGACGACTGAATTCCAAAGAAATCACGAAGCGAAGCTCATTGAGTTGCAGAAGCAGTGTATGATTGCCAAAAATTTGAAACTAAATTACAATAAGATTCCAAGCTTGAAATTGACGAATCTTCGCATTACTATGCTATATTTACACTTTCTCTCTAACGTTTTTCAAAACGCACTCGCATCCACAAAGCTATCATCTGTTTCCGTAAGCACTTGCATTATGATCACTCTATCGCAGCTTTAGAATAAGCTAAATTTTATTGATCGAATCACCACGTGTTGACTACTGAGCTTCCCTGAGTAAAAACGTAAGCAACTGATAAATGTAAGTTATCTCGAGATTTTCATTAAAATTACTTTAGTTACGGCAATTGAAGCCGCTAGCGGTTTATCATGTTCAAAATGCTCATTATCTTTAGCACAGCTATCTTCATATGATCCACACAGCTATCCTAGTATGATCCACTGAAATCAAGTAGCAGAAAGTATGCATTTCATAAGATTACAAACATAAACACAGCAACAATCCTTTGAATCATTACTCATTTTCGTTCTTTCTTATCAAGCTTTGTCCGGCTCAGAAATTGAAATTGGACATTGATGGATGACAACCCCTTAGATGATTGCTCCTAAAGGAATATATGATTCGAGAGATTCGTTGAACCAACGAAGATACAACTACCTCAAAACAACACAAATCATATAGCATTTACTTAATAATACAATAAAATAATCTATAAAATAATTAACGACAATACCGCGGGCGAGCCCCGGGCGACCGATGAGGACACTTACTCATTCAACACTTTCCTAACCCAGTCGCATTCCATTGACTTTCAAGAGGGCTGACTTACACGGCCGCGCAACGCCAAGGTAGCATGGCAACGGCGCGGCTGACACAACCCCGTAGCTGATCCATCTGCAATCTTAATTTCAGCTCCACAATATGTTCTGCGCGTCCATTCGTCCAACTCTTGCAAATTCTGAGCTGGGACGCTGGGTGTTGGTGCAGAGATGAAGTTGCGCATGAGTATAAGATTCATTCTTCATTGTCGATTATCTCTCATTCTTTAACTTTTTTGCAAACTTTCTGAGTATTGAGACCAGGAATGGAGAGGAGAGGGAGGGGTGGGGGAGCATGCTGATAACAAAAGTATCACCAAACAGTGGCAATTTCGATTTCATCAATTTTTGAAAATAGAGCTGACAAGGGGTGATAAGTTACAGTTTTCACCTGAACGAAATGCATATCATTAGGTTCGTCTTGTTAAATACCTTTTGATTCAATGGGATTGGCGGCTGGAAGGCGGGGCTTCGAGGCCTAACTAGAGAATGATCAGAGAGCACGCTTGCGAGCAAGACACAGACTGCTTCGCGGGCGCGAGAAATCGCCTCCCAGGCGCCAATCCTGTTAAATCCAAGGGAAATTTCTAATTCTGTTTTCCATATTCGCATCGCGGTTTTCGCGATTCTTTTGAAGAAATTATGAACGATCAAAAGATGTTATTTGGTTCTAATGCATGATGCGCTTTAACAACCAGCTTGAGAGTACATGATTAGTATAGTGCGTGCAGTGACTAAAAGTAATGCAGATGTATCAGCATGGATAAGTGTTTTTGAACAACTACTCCTTGTCGCGGCTTTGAATGTTTGCCAAACTTCTTTCAAATGCCCATAACATCGCCTAGAGAACCCCGCGGCAGATGCGGAAATTGGATCTGGAATAGCTAAGCAAGACGCTTGATATGCGTTTTGCTCCTTCCTTAGTGATAAGCCTGGAAGTTCGGGCTGAGTGAGCATACCGATCGCGAAAACGTAGGAGCTGTCTTACAAAGAAGAAAAAAGGCAGGAAAATGTCGTTTAGGTTTAGGAAATAGCAATCTTTATCATAAGTAGGGAGCAAGGGAATGGGTATGACAGCTACAACTTAAAATAATTTTCTTATTTGTCCACCTATCACAAAAAATAGCAAGGGATTTACAATTTGAATGTATGTGAACATTTTATAGACTGGGAAAGTTCTTGTTTAAAGCTCATTTGTTCGATTGTATGAATAATTGGTCATCGTATCGTTCGTAAGTTCATCTTATCTTTCGCTAGCTGGTATATCCTAACGTGACTAAATTCACCCTCTGAACCTCTGCACCTTCTGTACAACATTTTCTGCCCCTGGCCAGTTCCCATCCATATAGCTTGAAGTTTCCAAAACTCCGATACACGGTACTGATTTTTAACGGAGAGCAGCCCCATAACACTTGCTTCGATTCGAAGTGTTTGTGTGCAAAGTTCGGTCCGCATTGTATGAACACATACACGGATAGATACAGACATGCGGATATATAGACTTAAGCTTTGAGTTATATTTACTTATGATAACGGAATAAGGGTTGTTTGCATGTTTTTGTGTGTATGTGTGTAGGTCTGCCTGTCCGTTACGAAACACAGTAGAGCCAAGTTCCAATCAAGTTCTTGGGACCATTTTACACAAGACATGCTACTAGCATTTTAGTCCACCATGCAAAAGCGGGAGCGGATTAAATGCTCGGAACATACGAAAATTGCGCGTGAAGCTCTTCCTCCCGGTTCCTTCCCTAAAACTGCTTACGTCCTTCGACTTTTTCGGCTCAGATTCATTTTTTCTATTTCTTTTGATTTATTTGACAAGTCCAATTGCAAGCTATGCATTCTAACTCGAAGTGATCAAAATCATGTTTTTGAGAAAACGGCGGCGCCAAAATAACTGACTATGTACAACTTCGATTTGTAAAGGGTTAACCTAAGGAACTGATGAAATTCTACTTCGAGGTGTAGCTTATTGTCTTTATGGCGACAATCAAACCATTATGGGTTTGATAACTAACCCAGAAGTCTATTCGATTTTCCACAAAAAAATTTTTCGTCCTGAGTCACCAAGCTTTCGAGGCGAGCAAGTGGAATGAATGAGTTTTTACGTTTTAGGCCCCGGTCAGACTTCACGCGACTTAATCGTAGCGATCTAATCGCCAGGTTTTCCATTCATTTTCATTTCACTTTCAAAAATTACGGGTTGGAAAAGTATCACAACCGAATGAAAGTTGATCAGCATGGATGATGTTGTAACAGTTGTCTCCTCGCGATTCAGTCGCGACGATCAAATCGCGTGAAGTCTGCCCGGGGCCTTACTCACCATGCTAGACATCACTCGGTGAGTTGCATTGCTATTTCGATAGTATGGAGAAAGCAGGGCTCCGTATAGGAAGTGAACGTATGCGGCACTGATGTAGTACGCTACGACTTTTTTTGTTCAAAACACATGAAAAGTGGAAAGCTGCTCAAGGTTTTTTATTCATACGACGTCAGCGAGCACGTATAGATAGAGCAAGTGCGACCCTTTGTGAAATTGAGGTGACACACTAGTAAGTTATAAGCTATAAGCTTTGGGTTCTGTATAAGAAAAGTATTGCTAACAGCATCAGGACAGAAGCATTAGTAGCTTTTAGAAGCTTCGATGGCGAGTTTATGGGCGTAAATGGTGCGGAGATGACGCCTATCAAAACTGGCCGTAACTGTGATTATGAGATTTCGACTATTTTGATAGTGGGGAAGCTCAGATCAAGACTTGCCATTCTTTAATCTTCTTATGAGAAAATTAACTTTGCTTCCACATCTTCTAGCAGATTTTCCTCTTCTGGCTTCACATTTGCAGCGAGAATTGGGTGATCACTTAGCTAGGATCTCGCTATTGTACCGCATGTTTCATTTAACCTCAATCTTAGTAAACGGTGCTTTACAGCAGCACAGCTGACTTGGCGAACCATTGTTCCCTACGAAATGCTGCGCAATGAGCAGCACAAAAAATTTTCACACTTTTCAGAAAGTCTTTCAACATCTACCTAAAAAGTTGGATCTATATCTTTTTTAAACTCGTGTATTTTTCTTCGTCAAGAAGAGGTGCTCCCTAAACGTTTGAATAGAATTTGTATCATAAATTTCTACCAAAGTGGAAAAAAGAATTTTTTACCTTAGTGCTTTGCTCCGCTAAAAAATGAAAGCGTTCTCTAGCAAGCGATTTTTTCATCAAAATAACAGTTATTTTGTGGAAAACTAAGGTCTTTCTCCACAGTCAAATTACCAAGTTCCCTCTAAAGGGACGGAAGCTTGCTAATGTGGTCGTTTTATGATGATGAAGTTGATATTTCTGCAGTGTAATTTTCTCGATTTCGAGGTCATCAAAATTTTTTTCAAAAAATTGCTAGAAAGCAGTGTAAATCTCTAAAGTTTCTGCTCTGCAGAAAGTACGTGCTTTTCCGCGCGAGACGTCCTTGCTTATAGGTCACCCGAAAAATGAAAATATCACAGTACGACTGCTTTCAAAGCGATTTTTCCATGAGACCAATTGAAAAAGTTGGTAACTTCATTTTTTGAGAAAAAAAAACAAAGTTTTAGCTATGTAACTGTTTTCAAAACTTAAATTTATTTCCATAAAAGGAAAATAATTTTTCAAGAATGTGCTGTGCAAAACGTCGTACTATGTACTATTCTGCCGAAGATCGTGCTGGCTCGTTTAAGATTGTTACCTTTCCAAAGAAAGATAAGTGCAGTACATCTGTTCCCAGAAATTAGTTTCTTATGATCTTGTGATTTTCCAGGAGAAACTCGTTCTTATGGCGTATCCATATCACAGCTATAGAGTTTGAGTTAAATCACTCACAACTTCAATCGAGAATAAACACTAACATCAAGCTTTTCGGAGCCAAATTGTCTAAATGGTGCGCAATACAGTGCCATATCCAAGAAAATTCTGAATTTAAACTTAACAGTCCGGTTGCATAAAGCGAGATCAGCAACGCTTAGGGACCGGTCAACTTCGCCGGAAACAGACTAAAAAATTCCGAAAAAACCTAAAAAGCCTAAAAAGCCCAAAAGCGTCAGAAAAAGCTGGGATGCCTTTTGCGCGCAAGTTTTGCGCCAATTGTGTGTTCATTTCACAACTGAGTCATTTTACATCATTTTCTGTCGTCTGCCATCAAAATAATGTCAGAATTTTACTAAAAGGTCCAGAATCGTACCGGCCCTTTTGGCGCTTTTAGGCTCTTTTCGGTTGAGTATGACGGGCCCTTGAAGGCAGGGTTTGCTGTACCGGAAGTTCCGGAGAAGTTCCAGCACAGTTTTCGAACCTGATGGAAATGGTCTGATTATTTTGTTTCAAACCCCGCATGCATTTTTCAGCAGCGAAATAGCAATCAAAAATTTCTCAATTGTTTTCGTGTATAGTTTGCCAATTTCATCTCATTCTTGCTCCTTGCTTCCTATTTTAATGGAATTTCGAAAATGAAGCTTCTAAATGATTTGCCTTGCGTGCAAGATGTATTTGGTTGGAAACTAAGTTTTGCAACTGGTCTCACAACTTCCCTCTCACTCAACATGGCGCACCCAAATTTTGCCACTGCGTCGGCTATTACGTAAGCTACTACAAGTGCAGCTGTTGTGCTACCAATTTCTGACGTTGCAGTGAGGGTTACGGTAGGTGCGTAGTATGAAGGGGAAAATTCAAAGTTTGACGGATTTGGCTGAAACTTGGCATAGGGATGTTATTCGACATGCTGATCACGAAAACGATAGTTAAATTGCGTGATAAGGGTTTTTTGTAGGATTACTGTAGGTGTACGATATGGGGTCTCACCTTGAACAAGAAAAAAGGCGTTGATCCAACGAATGAATGTGATATTCGCGTTTGACAGGTCAAATAACTTTACTATGTAAAGCCTCGGCGGAATTTGAGCTTCGGACTCTTTAGTCATTGACGGTCGTCCCATCAGCTCTTGCGTACATCGACTCGTTCGACTTTATGAGGACGCCAAATCTTGACATGCCCCCAAGTTTTGTTTCTTTCTTACTAGGCCAAAGGACTCAACCTCCAGCAATAACATGTAGACGAATCCGGATTACTGCGCATGGTCTAGGCTGCCAAAGGCTACATTTTAGCTTGAAACCCCAAAAATTCTCAAATTTCACTAGTTTTCGAAAAACGCCTGAGACTTTTCTGTTTCGTGTTCAAAATTTAGACAATTTGTGCTCACTTGTAGCTCATATTGCCTTCTACATAATGCCAAAGTTTGAGTGCGCCATATCCAAAGAGAGTGAAGTTATGAAACCAGTTGCAAAACTTAGTTTCCAGCCTAATATTTTCCTATGCGCGTCATTTCTCCTCCGTGAATTTCTTACACACTCTATCTGTATTATGAAATGGCCTCGATATCACCACCTTCAGAGAGGAATGATAATGTCATCACGATTACAGAGATCGTAAACTGTTTGGTGAGATTTGGTATTTGCTGGTTTCAATCCATTTTTTCACAGCTTATACTGCTTGCTCGTCCCTATTTGATACGATTGTGCTTTTGACGATACAACTTAAGACTGAGGAAGCGTTAACAAATGGAAGCGGTATCACTTTATAACAATTTTCAGCCTGATGTAAACAACCAAACCACTCGCTCTTGTACTCTTCTCCAAGTTTGGAACTTTTTCCACCACGGGAGCAAGCAAGACACAAAAATGAGGCGAAAACGAGCAAAATATGCCATGAAAATCGTTTGAGAAAATCAAAAATTGCTGTTTTGCGCGGTTCAAAATCCCATGGCGCTGCGGCTGATACAGCAAAGTTCCGGCACAGTTTCAGCGCAATTCAAGAACTGTGCCGGTTTTTGCAAATCGGTACCCAGCCAAATAAGTCTCTAAAAAATGTAGGGCTTTACCGCTAATGGCCTGATCAGTTCAAATGCAAGATTGTCCACCAGATGACTACTGAAATGAGGACGACTATATTTGTGCTCCAGCAGAATAAGCAGCTCCAACGAAAACATTTTGATCTTAATTTACACTACTACTATTGTTAGTTGTTCTATCCGATAAAGTTACTATCTATTAACGACTTTGCGTTTGCGTCGGTTTTCAGCTTCCTTTATCAAAAATAATTGCCCCATTGTTTCCGAAACAATGAAATTACTTGTAAGACACAACAATGATACTACAACTTTTCGGGAATCACAGTTCCTCCTTGGTGTGGGCGGCTTTCTTGATCTTTCTTAGCGGCAACATCTTCACCATGTCGTAGCCGTGTTTTCTCAGTTTTTGCCAGAATGATGAAGCTTCTGCAAAAAATCGATTGCCCAGATAGGCTTTTAGAGAGTTGCACAGCGGCCTGCGATAAAATTAAGATTTTAGCACATCCTTTTTTAACGTAAATTACCGGTGGCACTAGTTTCATAAACACTTTTAACTAAAAAAATTTTTTTGATGCTGGAAATTGTTGCTGAAATCATGTTATTTTGAGAAAAAAAGAGCTTAATGCTCTCAACGCGTATCACGGCTCACCAATCGTTAGAAACAACAAGTTTAATAGTCGGCTACGTCTTATAAACAAGCTGACATAAAAAAAAATTTTTTTTCGATTACGCTGGAACACGAATTCACTTATATCTGAGTAGGCGGCGCGCTTATTGGCGCTTAAATCACAAGATGGAAAAATTTTTCTTTAAAAGTTCTATTCATTAATATCTTCAGTCTTTCGTATTGGCTTCTGCACCAAGAGCACACAAAGATAAAAATTTCTGGGAACCCGTTTTTTCATTCATTTTTCCCTCTCGTTTCCAAGACAATCACCAGAGTGTAACCACAGAAGGGACACTGTACTATCGCATGAAAAATTCACAGGAAAGAAAAACACGGGGGACATAGAGGAAAAGTGGAGAAAAGTTGAGTGTGCTTGCATAATTTTCGTAGGTTATTATGATATTGATATTTAATTTGTATCTGAGGATTGAAAATGCATGTAGTGGCACTTTGATGCTGCGCTAGAAGGACTTTTAGAAACACTTCGCCGTTCATACCGCGCTTTCAGTCAGAAAGGTCAATACGGGCATAAAAAACGAAATATTTTGGTAAATTTACTTTTTTCCTATTTCTTGTTCACGTAAAATGAAAATTTAGCACCTACCTTTGAAAAATCCCTTTTTCAATTCGTAAATCGACGACATATTCATGTAGCGTATAGAAGGATCTTCGCTAATTTCCAACCAAAGCTTTTGGTGATTTAGAGGATGCCTGAACTCAGCTGGCCTGTACTTCGCAAACCATGAGACTGAGCTTAACACATACGCCTCGACAGCAAATTCGGCAAATGACTCGCCAAAATAATCTGCGAATTTCTGTTGTTCTGGTTTGAGAGTCATGCCGAGGTCCAATAGCTCATCTACACCAATCGCGAAGGGGAACTCACTACTATGTGTTGCTCCTGGAAAGCAGACTATCAGCATTTGGTCCAAATGGACAAGGAGAAAGATAAAAAAGTCTATGAACTTCTCAGCCTTTTCGGAATTTTTTCTTCCCAGGGAACTTCACCGTAATGATCAAAGATATATGCATATATTTCCCAATGAGCAGCTTTGACACGTGAAAGAATACCTTCAACAGCTGGTACATTGAAGAATAGATCGCTGAGAAACTTAAAAAAAATTTTTTTGTGCAAGAAATTTTCGTAATAGTTATTATGAATATTACCTCGGTGTATCGGTCAAGATAAAAATCTGAATTTTCTTCCTCATCCCTATCGACATAATATGCAAGTACTTTATCTGTTACCTTCTGTAAATTCTTCCCAACGTAAATCGCTTTCACATATTTCTGATGGTAGAACAATAAGACATCACTTGTCTTGAGTACGACTGTATGGATACCGTCAGCTTTTCGATCAACGTCTGCCTGTTCCACTTTGGAAAATCAGCTGGATCAATCTTGAAGTTTTTCCAAAAAGGGGGTCCAACCACAGCTGCAATCAACACATCTGGACTCAAGAACTGCTATTATGCGAACACTATCAAACACATCGAGCTAAGGTCATAAGGTTTTGAAGCACATGAGTATAAGAAATGGTTTTTAGGACATTTTTATACCAGACTGATGCTAGGACCACGCCAATATTCGTTTTTCTTCTCAATTCTCCACTGAAAGAATTTAACTCCATACTGTGATTCATTGAAAGTGCCGAGATAATCGCTGAACATTACATTTCAATTCGTCGTTCTCACCTTGTTTGATTTTGTTAATTTTCAAATTTTTTATCTGAGACTTTTGGACACTTTGAAAGCCCGCAAACAGGGAAAACCTCTTGCCACTCTAGAATTTATTCGAAGCAACCATATATTACTTTCGACCTATTTTGACCTTGTGACATGAAATGGTAAACAATTCAGGTAGCATTCGATGCAACTTCTCCATTTTCTAGAAGTTCTCTTTTCTTGACGAGGCCCTCAAAATTTGCGAGGAAGATCGCAGTAATTCTTAGCTTTACGAGTGCGCACTGGCGTACCCTAGATTTCGATATCTACAATTTGGAGCAAAAATCGCTCATTTACTTTGTAAGTTTAGCAGATCATCGGGTGATGCAAGCTCGATGTTCTGAAAATCTTGTGTTTAATACAATGACAGATTATGCAATTATTTTCAAAACCCAAGACTTTTGGAAAATTGTTTAGCAAATATCTTAAAAAGTAGCTGAAAAAAAGGTTAATCGCTTCAGGTGACAAGAGGTTTGCCCTACCTGCTGGCTATCAAAGCTCCCCCGAAAGTCTTAGGTAAAAAATTTGAAAATTGCCTCTGAGGAAGGCTTATTGCCCGAAACGTCAGGTTGAATGAATACAAACTTATAACAAACCTGCGTGGCAAACATCGTATAAAATAATTTAAAAATTAGCGGAAGTTGAACATGATGCAAACAAAGACTTGTATCCAAACGATTACCTCAACACTTTCTCAACGAATCACACTGGAAATATAGCAGCTGAAGAGAGAAACAAAATGCGCACCGAAAACAGTTTGAAGTGTTCGCTTATCGTTACTGTACGGGATTCGCAGGTCATTCCAAGAAATTTTTTTTGCACAGACCTAGTTTTTCAGATTGCTCAAGTAAGTTACCCCATTTTCTATCTCCTCAAAAAGCAACAATAAGATGATTCACATTATTTCGCACTATGATAAGAGTTGTCGGGATTCCTCTCAATCTAACAGAGATTCGATTACATTGTACAACTCTTTCAAATAAATATAATTGTTATCATCTACTAATATGTACGTAATAACGTTATCGATCGAAAACAAGACGTTAAAGCAAATTTACAGATGCTTTGATTCCAAAGAATATTCGGTAGACTATCAAATGTGCAGGTTTTATCAATTGAAATGTCCGTTGCACCAGCATCTCCACTCCCGCGCGGGATTCTGCACCTCTTCCGCAAACATGTTCCCTAATCACATTCAATCGGTTAAGGCTCCGCCTTTCCCACGTTTCCCACGGTGAGAAGGTGATCAGTGAGAGCATACTCGCGAAAGAGGTGCCGAGTTCCGGCGGGAGTGGAGATGCTGGCGCACCCGACACTGTAGTTGATAAGCCCTGTATGACAGACTTGTTCTGCTATAAATACATGAAATAGTGCTATGCTTTTGACGTTGTTCCAGACTTTTTTAAATGAAGATTCTGCGGGTTTGAGTCTTAATTGTACCTCCTAGAACAGAAGTACAAACTCATGAAAATCACTTATTTCCAAGCTGTCCTGTACATGATCTGATGCTTAGTATACAGTTTCTCTGAAAAGGCCAAAAAGTGAGAAGGACAAAGTTGGAGTAATGTTCCGTATTGAGTATGGCATGTTTTTGTTGAAGTCTACTTATGCCTTAAGGTAAGTTTGCCTTTCAAATCAAGAATTATTTATATCAAAATTTTTAGCGGCATTGTATAAAAAAAGTATAGGAGGAGTCCTAACATAGACCGCGGATGTATTACTGAACAGATGTATCCTCTTCACAAGTGATCTTCGAGGCTATTTCATCTAGACTACGAGGTTTACCCTGGAATGCCACGACAAGTCACTTAGGTATCTCAAAATGAAAGACTTACTAAATAGAGCGGCTTCCTTAGCTGTGACGCCGATGATAGACACCTTTCTTGGAGCGTTTTCAGCCATTTCATCTGGATGTTGAAGAAATAGACCGTCGATTACTGGACCCCATCTTACGATATTGAGGTCATCCTTTGTTGAGCCATAAAACGCAGCTTTGATTATATCTACTCAAAACAATTTTAGGTTGCCCCATAATTTTTGTCCGCTCTAACAGATCTTGCGAATTCTATGTTAAAATTAAAGCTCAAGTCATCGTTCGATGAAGCAAAGCAACTCGGCAACTTCTTCACCGGAAGATATTCGGGCCGGAAGATTTATAGATTTTCCCAGGGCTGAAGTCCGATTTCTGCAACTTGAGTTTTGCTTTATGATATCGAACTTCATATGGCCTGTAAATGTGAATATCTGATAAACATCGCAGAACTGCTCTGGTGTAGAAATTGTTCACTAAACCAGCTTAATGGTGACTAGATTATGGGACAACCCGATATGCAGCTAATGTGCTCACCATTTCTATTATAGCTTTTTTAATCTCCTTAGTTGTTTTCTGTTTCATACAAGCCTTGATGTCTTTAGTGCACTCCAGAAACTAAATAGATCTGTTTTCCTGGCTATAATCCGAAAAACTGGTGGTAGCTCCATCAAAAATAGTAATCGCTTACTTTCGCTAGTCTTAAGGAGTTGTCGACCACGCTACTACCGATAGCCCATGATGCCCATGGTGAGCCTGACATTTCAATGGAGCGCGCAACCATATCTGAAAAATCAAAAACTTCGAGCATTTCCGGTAAAAAAAAGAAATCAAATAATTGACGTCAAATGGTCTGCGCCCGCCATTTCCATGAGGTTCAAATTTGAAACCAAAAATTTTCGGAATCTAATCTACCCTCTTTGTTATCACCTACTTCTCCCAAACGTTATTTCTGTAGAATATTTTTCCACATCGAATAACAATATTTGGTTTTTTTAGTACAGTGCGTGCAGAGTACGCATGCCGCCACAGTCAAAGTCGTAGGAACCCGCAGCGACTCAGCTTTGAAGGGAACTGTGGCGGCTCGGTGGGTCCTAACACCTAGATCTAACCCGAGTAGCCAAGGCTCGCCCGCTCTAGACATACGACGCAATCTACCCTACTATAGTGTGGACCCCGGCCAGGTTCCCATAGGTACTCCCGCAGCGCGCACGCAGCGCACGCCCTTCTCAATGCCTCTCGCCTCACTCACGAGCAGTAGAGCATATTTATGCTTACAAAGGAGAAAAATGTAAAGTAGAAACCTCTATGTTCACTCCGAAAGAGACTTATGCAAGAATGAAACGCAGGCAACCTCCACCTCCAACCTCACGATTAGATTCAATCAATGGATGCATATTCCGAACTTGCACTGATGGATAGGTTGTAATAAGTATACGTAAAGAAATCAAAGAACAATAGCATTCTTAAAACACTTCTCTTCGTAGACTTGGAAACTAGAGTGGTCAACGATTTCAAAAAGTGGACATTTCAGTAGACAAATGCCTATTGGCTTCTCGGAAGGCTCTTTGACTTGAGACACTGTCCACACCTTACAAATCAAACCGAAAGGGACTCTTATTTTATACAAGAAGCTTTTGAAAGAATATTATCTTAATATTCAATCAAATCTCTAGTTTTTTGAGAAAAAAAAGGAAAAACACAAGACTACTACCCAAAACTGAAACTCTTAGAACTATTAAAGCAAGTGAAATCTCGTCACCGATTATCGCGAATTGTTCATACCTAAAATAGAGAGAATATAGTACACCAAAAACAAAAAAAGGAGAGAAAGGAGGATTTCCATCAGAAGCTAGGACAGGAGACGCACTGAAGGCATGCGTTGCGGGTGCGTCGCGCAGGTACCTATGGGAAGCTGGCCGGGGTCCACACTATAACTTGCACTGGCGTGCAACTAAACAAAAAGCATACTAAAGTTTTATCCTTATAACATCAAAGAAACAATGAGAAACTACAAAACCCAAAACAAAACAGAACAAGTAAACGACAAGGAAGACTACTACTTTACAGACTAATCTTTTAAACATTTATAAAGCCGAACATGAAACGAGCTGTCCCATCCCGTGCAACCGGTGGTGCGCGTTCATATAACATCTAAACACGACAATGCTCCCGAGGCTTCACCAATACAGATCCGCCACGCATTGTCAAATAACAGGCGCGACAGCCTCTCCGCCCCAGAATTCACAAGATCTTAAATCCGGAAGGTTCCAAAAGTAGCTCATCTAAAGCAAATCCCAAATCCGACTTGGATTCAATATCCTTTCGATCCACTCGACCGCTAACGTAAAAGAGACATCAAAGGCGGGAGCTAATTACCATGCACGACCACAATAGAAAACATAACAAAGATTATTGATCGAAAACAAAAGCGAACACACCCTGCAACTAGGCGCCGCCGCTATACATAGCCTTTTGGCTAGCAACGCGCCGAGGCGAGGGGAAGTCCGGCGGCGACTGCGGCAAGCGTGAGGAGTACCGTAATCGTCGCCGGATAGCGCGGCAGCAACCAGTGCTCCCGGCCTCCTATTTCTGGAAGCGCTCGCAGAGCCGCAGGTTGAGTTTGGACAAGTGACAGTGGCTGTCCCACTTGTCCAAACTCAAAGTGCAAGGAATTAGTCTCAGGTTCAAACTGGCGTATAACTCCAGGTAAGCACAATTGCTAGAAATTGAAATTTTGCCCGAACGCTGTCCAAAAGCCGACGATTCATAAAACTTCTTGGCTATAAAGTTGAGAGCATTTTCAGCATAGTAGTGTGTCGAAGATGGTGAATGCACCACTCTTTTAATTTATAGATTGCAGCATTACAGATTTATAGATTGTTTTTGTCGCAGCTGACAGACGGCTCGATTTTTATGATCATAAAGACAAAGTGACCAAAAATGAGATCGAGTAACAAAAACTGAAAGTACTTTGTCGGTTTGGTAAAATTTATATCACCCTTATAGCTTTGTGACAAAGTTGTTAATATCAAGTTTATAAAGAATAATGACCAAAACCGATAACTTAGCTGTTAAACATACCTCTGGTCAGTGGGCTAAGTGCCAGTTGCCCGGCTGCAGCACCGCCCGCGCCTTGACCCCAGACAGTGATGCGTGATGGATCTCCACCGAAGTTTAGCGCATTTGAATGCACAAACTAAAATACTGATATGATTAGGCTTTTTCAGAAAGTTGCATGAGAAAAATTGGTTTTGATAACCTTGAGTGCCTCAGCCATATCGAGCAAACCTAAGTTTCCCGGCATGAGCTCATCACCAGTGGAAAAGAATCCTTAACATAAGCAAAATGGTAAAAAAGCGGATGTGTACTTGGGGTACAATGGTGTAATCTACAAGTGAAACAAAGATAAGCAAAACATGGATGTGGAGTAATATTGATCAGATTCAATTTTTTATTCAATCCAGAAAAAAATGTGAATGAATAAAGGAACACACCATAAATTCCTAGCCGGTATTGTATTGTAACGATTATTACGGCTCTATTTGTATAAGTATCTGCGAGACTTTTATAACCACATTCAACGGCAGAGAAGGATTTATAAGCTCCACCATGTATCCAGAAAAGAATAGGAAATCCCACTTCCGATGCTGGTGCCTAAATTTCAAAAAATAAATATGAAACATTTTTTGGGAAAAGCTTTACCTTTCTCTTCGGTCGAATTATATTGAGCGTCAAACAATCTTCGCTAGCAGTATCGTCATCCTTAAGTGTTACAAATGGAGTGCATTTAGCACCGAAAATGGTTCCATTGAGAATATCTGCCCATGGACTTGGGGATCTTGGCTTCTAGAAGAAAGCACATCTCTGGCAGCGGATAAGGAAATGCATTAATGCATTACCTCAAATCTGAGATCACCTACTGGAGGTGAGGCATAGGGTATGTTGAGAAATATTTCTGCAACTTCTCCTTTGCTTGTTTTATACTCGAAACCTCGGACCTTTCCTTCTTTCAGTTCAATAATTTGAGCCAATGTTATTGCAGAGAAATATGTGAGTATTATTATCAAAAACATCTTTCTGAATGTGATGTTAATTAAATAATTGCTTGACTGCTCACAGCTAACACGTTGTCGTAATCGTCTTTTCTATTAATCACTTATGCCTTTCGACACCTCTTATCAGTTTTCGCCACCACACAATCGCACTGCTCATAAATTTGTATGAAGATTTACTTTGTGCTAAACTCCTTTGCCGACTATTCATTATAAAATAAAATTATGAGCCTTTACCAATAAGTTAAGTTTTTGCACTCTTTTGCGATTAAACGATGTCAGTTGTATGTAACCGAGCCCGCCGACCAATACTATTTTTGTAATCAATGACGAAAAGAGATAAATAGCATGAGCGGTAAGAGGAAATTTTTCTTTCTATACAGACATCTCTTAGGTTGTCACATAAGTTTTGCAACTTATATCGTAATCTTTCTCTTTCTGGTGTGATGCATTCATTTTTGGGCATAATGTAGAACAGGTAGTAGGTACAAATGTGCGCAAACAGTTTGAATTTTTGCAGCGAAATGGAAAAATTTACGCGTTTTTCGAAAACTGTTCAACTTCATAAAAAGGGTCGGAAAACCGGAAATAAAGCCGTTCTCAGTTTAAATCAAACACATCAGGTCGATACTGTAGGCGGATTGTTGATAAAGGAATTCCTAACGATTTGTACGTTTTCGACTTAATGCGTTCAATTTAGACTGACGGCATCATTCTTGTTTTTCGGACCATTGATATTTCGAATTTGACCATCTTTCGGAACATGCATAAATTTTGTTCATTTTGCCACCAAAAATCAAACTGTTTGCGCATATTTGTAGCCTGCCACCTAGTTTACCTCATGCCCAGAAGTGAATGCGTCACAATTATAGAGAGAAAAGTTATAAAAATAGATGCAAAACTTATGTGCCAACCTACTGCCAAGGAAAAAAATCTATGCTCAACTGTACGTATGAAAGTTTACGAAAATTATGCACTAAAAAAATGGTAAATGTGGATAATTGTGGTACGAATTGCGTGCACATTAGTGAGGAAACTCGGCTGATTACTCGAAATTGTTTGCCTCACTTTCGAGGTGCAAAAATATGTCATAAGCAACAACGGTCCCCTTTCAAACTGCAAATCCTTTGAAGGATAAGTCCACATTTATGAGATAGAGTGCAATGAGGAAGCGGAAAGTGAGCACTTAAGCTGGTGAATCTCGATAAATTGAATTTGTATAATTGTGCTATTGCAAAGTGACGTCAGCGTTGAGAGGGATGAAATAACGACTGCGACAGAATTCTATCAAAATGATTTTGGTTTTAGTCTTATCAAAATCGCCTTTGCTTTTTTTCTAAGGCAAAGACCAGATGCAAGTAATGACAATGTGCAACCAATCAATTCTTTTCAAAACCCATGCTATTAATTTTGATTTGCATGATTGGACTCTAATCGAAATGTGAACGTCCACATTATGATTACGAACTGATGCGTGTCTCAGCCATTGCTGGATATGAAGTTTACTATCTGAATTTGTGTTTCTTATTGAGTGCATGTCAGCTACTTGTTCGACTAAAATGTTTAATTTTATCCTTTTTTCAAAACCTTTCTAACCTTTCTTCTATAACCACCCAGCCAAGCTGTGCCATAGACGGCTGTGGCATGATGTAAGGGAGCCTATACTGTGTTAGCGTAACTTTTGCAAAGTAGCAGTTTTTGCGCATGCAGCCGCTTTTGAAGCTTTGATGCCAAGCTCTTCCGGCTTTTTTCCTTGATTTTGCATGAAACAAAAGGTTATCATTCGTGCGTATTTTATAGAAATTATCTCATAGCTTCCGCTTGAATTCCTATGCGGATTGTTTTAAGCTAAGCCCTTCAAAAAATACGGTTGCTCGGAGACCGATAAGTCGTTCTTTAGAGCAATTGCGTCAAGTTGTTACACTCAGTTAGAGATTACCACTTTTCTTTTTCTTGAATATCTCTTGCTTTATATACAGGGTGTCCCAAAAGTATGTATACACTGTTTCATCGTTGATATCTCTTTTTCCAAAAAGTCTTTTGCCTACCTCTAAGCCCCATTTTGTAAAACTGGGTTCAACTTAGATTTATAGTATGTAGCGAATCACGGATCGTTCTTCACTACTATAAGGTTACGGTAGGAACTTTCAGCTTATAGCGTCAGTACGGATTTACCGTATTTTAAAAAAAGTCTCCAAAAAATCTGAAAAATGGTTTACTAGGGTTTCCAAGCTTGGTGATTTTATTATTTAACTTTTTACGAGTTTACAAAGCTTTTAAAATAGTATAATTACGGTTTTTAAATTCTTGTAACAGCTACTGCGGTCTACCTGGCATAATTTATGAAAGAAGCATTGCGGTAAAGTGCATATTTGGTATATCATATTTGGTCTTAGCGGCTTCAGTTAATCTAGCATAAAAGTTGTGTGGTTGTTCGGCTTGCTTTCTGAGGCGAAAAAATCTTTGATGGCTCACAACCCTTCTTGAATTTTCTACAGTAATACTACAGTAATGAAGAGTGACCGACGATTCGCTCCATATTGTTAATCTAAGTTGAAGCGAGCCCTACAAGATGGTGCTTAGAGGTAAGCAAAAAACTTCTTGGGAAAAGAGATATCAGCTGTTCGGCGATGGACCATGCAATAGAATTAGGTGGCGAACCCTTCGAGTGCAACGCTCCCCCTACCTCTCAGATTCTCAAAAGCATTTAGAGTCCCAACGCGCACCTAACCCAAGTAGGCGAGACCTTCATTGAAGCTTGCTTTTACGCAATAGCGGGAAGGAGGCTTATCTATGTAAGGATCATTTGTAATTCACTTATTCCAGTGCAGGTACAGGCATCTTTTAGTTCTAAATGATGGACCAATACTGTTATGTTAGTGTCTGATCAGTTGTTTTCTCGTATGATCTGCCCTCGCTGAGGCGCCTGCGACCTCAATGCGCGGGAAATGAGCGCTATAAAAGGCGCTCGCTGTTAGCTATTGTCAGTTCGTCTGTTCACTCATCTGCCTCTCTTATCTTTAACTGTTCTATTATTTTCTAATAAATATTCTTTGTTCCTCGTGTGCTACCTCAGGACGAAGAGTCGACGTGTCCGACGCGGAGGACACAACAGTGGCGATCAGGATCGGCGGCTACTAGTCGAAGAAGTAAAATACTATATATTTACTTGGTAGTAGTAGACGCATACAGCAAATGGCCTGAAATAATCGAGATGACCAATATCTCGGCGGCGAAGACGGTGAAGGTTTTGAAGAACTTGTTTGCGAGGTATGGATTACCGCAAACAATAGTGAGCGACAACGGTACACAGTTCACGTCGGACTTGTTTAAGAAGATGTGTGACGAAGGTGGAATCACGCATATAAGGACTGCTCCGTACCACCCTCAATCGAATGGACAGGCAGAGCGTTTCGTTGATACGCTGAAACGCGGAATCAAGAAACTAGAGGGGGAGGAGAGGCCAACAGAAGAGACTCTAAATGTGGTGTTACAAGCGTACAGGACAACACCAAACACGAATTTGAACGACAAGACGCCAGCAGAATTGTTTCTAGGCAGAAACTTGCGCACAAAATTAAGTCTGTTACTCCCGATGACAGAAGATGCAGAAGACCCACTCGCACGAAGGAGACGGGAGCGCATGAAGGATCAGTTCGACCAAAAGCATGGAGTCGTTCGAAAAGATTTCGAAGTTGGTGACCTGGTATACGCTAAGCAATGGAAGCCACCCCACTTCCATTGGGTGAAAGGAACCGTTATGAGACGCATTGGACGTGTCAATTATGAAGTTATGGTTGGTGATGAGATATGCAAGAAGCATGCAAATCAGCTGCGACATCGAAGCTATAGCGAACAGGTCGCCGTACGACAACAACTCCAGCAACAATCCGAAGCCTTGAAGATACTGTTAGATGTTCTGACAGAAGATGACACACTATCAAGGAATGGCAATGCTGCTGAAGAGAGTTCCGAGCAAGCGATCGCCAGGGATGTGCCAGCACCCGTGGATTCAACGACATCGACGTCGACATCAAGCCACGAGCCTTCCACGCCACCGACAACGCTTCGGAGATCGAGCAGAACAAGAAGACCGGTACAACGGTTCCAACCTAGTCCATAGCATGTTATCGTATGTTTGCTTCATTAGATTTGTAGTTGTTTAAATGATAGTGATATCTATGTGTAATCGATTTCTTAGCTGTTCATATTTGTAGTTCACGCTTTTAGCGTAGGCTAGTTTTGTGTAACTACCCTACTGGGGGAGGTGTTATGTTAGTGTCTGATCAGTTGTTTTCTCGTATGATCTGCCCTCGCTGAGGCGCCTGCGACCTCAATGCTGCGCGGGAAATGAGCGCTATAAAAGGCTGTTAGCTATTGTCAGTTCGTCTGTTCACTCATCTGCCTCTCTTATCTTTAACTGTTCTATTATTTTCTAATAAATATTCTTTGTTCCTCGTGTGCTACCTCAGGACGAAGAGTCGACGTGTCCGACGCGGAGGACACAACAAATACTATACTAATACGACACATAGGCCAGCGGCAAACACCTTGTCAGCGCATGCAAACTATGGCGGACATAAGTTGGTCTTATGGCGCTTCAACGGGCTATCAAGCAAGTATCGATCCGGATGCGGAACCTTGTAATTATGATGAAAATTGCCTGTTCTGAAAGGAAAAACTTTGCAGCGTTTGGACTGGTTAAATGGTTCTGACTGGTGCGACAGCACCAGAGTTTGAGACCGACAAGTGTGCCACCATTTTTGCTAGATCGCGGAGGCAGCATTTCATAGGGGCAGCTAGAAAATAGATGATATGCTCGTCAAAAATTTTTTAATTTGAGCAGTTTATTAAAATGAAAATTCGATTGAGATGCCGACAGCAAAAAAAAAACTTGATATCCTATGCTTACTGCAAACACAGTTCATTAATCCTTCCTATCCGCATGCCCTTCGAATCATGCCGTTTCGCGCACTGTTGTCCGCAATATTATGTCACAATACGTGTCCAATTATTCTATTGCTCAATTGTTGCACACTATGTTTCTGATATCAATTTAAAACAAACGTTGTTCTTACAAAAAAATCTAGGAGAGATCAGCCTGCATTTGCCCGGATGCTCACCTATCAGTTATGTGGCATTCTATGCATGAGGGATGGCTACCCGTAAGATCACCTTACAAACCTCACCCCCGGGGGGGGGGGCAGGGGTTCACCACGGGCCTAATGCATGAAATTTACTGTCCCAGATCATTTGTGTAATATTACACTATTACTATCACTGCTATCGCTATTTTAATCTAAACGCGAGCAACTTGAAGGGCCAAGGACTCACTGCAGAAACCTCTGTTGCGCATCACCTTAAAAACTGTGCGAAGACCAGTATTTCGCAAAGCACAGCTATGCGGCAAAGCTGCTCGCATTCAACGAGATAAAATGTGTCCCCTTACACCCATGAAACTAGGTTTTGCAATTTTAGTAATCTTTATACCAGCTGTTACACTATCTTAAAAAAATAAGAAACTGAGAGATCTGATGGAGCTGTCTTCACATCAAAGTTCGTCCTTCACCCTTTCCATGTCATCTCTTGTCCGTAACAATTTCACCATATCAAATCCGTATTTTCTCGTTTTTTGCCAGAACGATGCAGATTCTGAAAATTTTTAAAATATCATAAAACTCAGTGCATTTAGTACTTAAAAAACTGGAAGATGATTATGCAATTATCCTCCATAAAAGTTCATTCCATAAGAAACAAGCATCCTCTTGTGCATGGGGAGTTTTGTGTTTGCAAATCGAACTCAAACAGACTCGATTTAGTGCATTACCGTGAATGCTTAGAGACCGAAAATTATTCTGTGTGAGAGCATCTCTGAACTGTTAAAGGAGCAAGCTAGACCAAGCAAGGCAACTGTTTTCAGTTTTCCTTGTCTTTTCTTGCCGTCATTTTCTTGAGCATTTTCAAAGAGTTGCATGCAGAACTCCGCTCCGTCTTCATCTTACCCGAAAAAATTTTACGGACGTTTACCTTGATAATGCAGTACACATACACATATACAAATGGTGTTTTGCTCTTCAAGCAAAACTAAAGAATGGTTGAATGGCACTAGCCTTCGATAACTTCAGATTCTCTGTACGGCACCTCCTTCCTTCATAGGAAGTACAAACCGAACTTATACATTCGTAATGCTTTGGTTTTCTAATTATCCAAAACTAGAAATTGCCACTCTTGTTACGAAGGCTTTTGCTTTTAATTTTCAACTGCGTTGAAAACACGAAATTTTTTTGCATAAATGGATGTTTTTCAGCATTCGCTGTATGATAATAACAGAAAAGTTCGGTCTAAAGTCAAACTGTTTATAAACTACAGCACAAATTTACTGTCGAGTAACTTTTTTGGTATGTGTGCATTACATCTTCTAGGATATAGTTGGCAGTGCGTATCAGGTATTGTTTGAGATTAAATTTTTTCTTCGTGATAAGGCCATCTTCAAACTTAGCAGTGCCAAAAAATGAATGAAAAAATGGATGCTATCTAGTTCCACGTATCTGAGCAAGATGTGGCTTTGTGTCTCACTTTCTTGCGCCTTTTTGCTAGCAGACTTCGTCAAGAAGCCGCTACTTATCCCACACCCGCTAGTTTCAAATGATGCGGTATAAGACACAGCTTTCACGAATACATGAAGTTAACTAGCATCTTTTTCGTTTCCGTTTTTTGCTATCAAGATACGGCGCCCTCACGGTTCTTTTTTGTTCAAAATCGTGACAACAGAACAAATGAGTATTACGAAGAAATGCCATGCTTACCAGCAACGAACAAAAAATCAAAAAAACCTGCGAAAAAGCAATTATAATGGTTAGAAAACTCCAAGAAAAGAGTGGAAAAGCAGCCTTCCGCGTTATAGCGGATTCTTAAGCTCGCATGCATAAGAATCCCTGCGGCGAGGGTCTTCTGTATATAAGGCCTTAGAAGAATACCAAAAATGACTAACAAGGGAAGGAAGGTTGGTCGAAGTAACCTTTTGAAATGAGATGTACAATATCTTGTAGAGATTGGAACGCTGATTCCAAATCTACCTTTGCTATCTTCTGCGGGCTTCTGGGTGAGGAGTTATGAAGGTTTCCGTGAGTAAAAATTCAAATGCAAGATCAGTATGAAATCAGATCGTAAGGTTTTTTCTGACCTTCAAATGAGGCAGCAGCAAACTGGTATATTTGAGTCGAGAATATTTGTTGCACCAAGTGACCTGACTATCAGTTAAGTCTAGAAAAAATGTTACGTCTGATTTAACACTTATCTTGCATTAAATTTTTACTCACAAAAACTTTCATAACTCTTTGCTCAAAAGCCCGCAGCAGATGGCGAAGGCAGATTTGGAATCAGCGTTCCAAGCTCTATAAGATAGTACACATTCTATTTCAAGAGGCCACTTCGACCAACCTTCCTTCCCTTGTAAGAATAGTCAGGGCTGTTCAGGGAACTTCCATTATGATCAACACAACGTAAGATTGTATAAAGATCGACCAGTTTTTAGAATCCGCGAATTCTTTGCGGACTTTACGTTCGGCGCAAATTTTTCTCTCCAGACTGCATCTAACTCACCATTGAAAAAGCCCGTTTTCATCTCACATTTTGGTGCAATATTCATAAAGCGAATAGCAGAACCTGCTTTGATTCTTAACCATGGTTGTTGATTGTTGGAAGGATGCCTAAAAAACCTTTTCTTCAAATTAAAAAATACAAGTTGAATTCTCACCCATTCTTAGCAAACTCTGACAACGACTCTCCTAGAAAGTCAGCAATGTTCTCTTCTTCCTCTTCAAACTCGCGTCCCAGTACAGCGCTTATGTCACCAAAGTAAACAAACTCACTTCCATGCGTTGCTCCTACATCGTAATCAGTTAATTCTAATTTTAGCTGCGATTTCTTGATAGTGTCCCGCAGACCCAGTACACTGAATTGCTCATAATGGTGAGATTGACTAGAGGCCCCAAAGTCGCTTCCCAAATGGTATATGGTTCATCCACCTTCAAAACTGTATCCTATCTTCAAATGTAGCCATTTTGACTGTGCAGAGGTAAACACATGAGAGATGTCCGTTTGGGACCCTTTAGTGTGAGGCCTATCAACTGGTAGAATGCACGAGATGCGACCGCTCCGCGACGCACGCGCAGCGATAAACTGTGTCTGCTCACATTTGGAGCAAACTAGGTGCTGCTTGTATACCTGAGAATAGGGTACCTTAGTCCAGTGGCGGTCAGCTACTTTTTCCAAAGGGGCGTGGCGTTGGCAAATCATCGAAAAGTTTGGAATGCTTGCTTCTTGAGACTATGGCTGGATTCATACTGATTCCCATGTTCCGGAACTGTTCCCGCACAGTTCTCGCACTGTGCTGGAACTGTGCGGGAACTGTGCGGGAACAGTTCCAGAACTGTGCTGCATGCGTTGCAGCCGCCCCTCACCGTTCTGAACGGCGGGAGTTGGAGAATTTTGACCGTTCTCAACGGTTTTTCTTCCAGATTTCGCTCATTTTGGCCTTGTTCCTCCACCCCGCTTCCCTTTTTGATCAGCAGAACTTTGAACTCGAAGCGGGGTTGAAGAATGAGCGCTTTTCTGCGCCGTGTATTCGGAAAAAGTGCTATCGTGCGATTGTTCATTCTGTCTTCGTGTTTTTTGCTCAAAACTACTTCATTTGTTCCAGAAAGCCGCTGCCCAGTTTCCATACCATCTGCCACGAATTAGGGAGTAGCAGAAATCCTGTGAATGAGTTGGGACTTGTCCTTGTTTTTGATGATTTTGGGCGTTCTTAGCCTTTTTCTTTTTCCACATCATTACTTCGCCGTTCTTTCTTCTACCCCGTTTCTCCTAGTGATGAGAAAAGCTGTGAATTTGAAGCCGGGTTGAGGATTGAATGCTGTTCTGCTCCATGTATCCGGGAATATGGGCCTTCGTGCGCTCGTCCATTCTCTCATCGCTATTTTTGTTCACACCTACTTCATGTGTTCTATAGACTTGTCTATTTCAAGTTCAATACAGATGCGAGACTACGCAGCGACTTGTTAGTACACATGAAGTAGATGTGAACAAAAATAGCGATGAGAGAATGGACGAGCGCACGAAGGCCCATATTCCCGGATACATGGAGCAGAACAGCATTCAATCCTCAACCCGGCTTCAAATTCACAGCTTTTCTCATCACTAGGAGAAACGGGTTAGAAGAAAAAAACGTAGAAGCAACGTTATGGAAAAAGGAAAGGGGCTGAGAACGCCCAAAATCATCAAAAACAAGAGACAAGTCCCCACTCATGCAATTTCAGAATTTCTCCTACTCCCTTATTCGTGGCAGATGGCTATGGAAACTAGGCAGCCGCTTCCTGGATCAAATGAAGTAGTTTTGAGCTAAAATCACGAGGAGAGAATGGACGAGCGCATGACAGCCCATCTTTCCGGATACATTTAGCAGAACAGCGTTCAGTCCTCAACCCCGCTTCGAGTTCGAAGTTCTGCTGATCAAAAAGGGAAGCGGGGTGGAGGAATAAGGCCAAAATGAGCGAAATCTGGAAGAAAAACCGTTGAGAACGGTTAAAAATTCTTCAACTTCCGCCGTTCAGAACGGTGTGGGGCGGCTGCAGCGTATGCAGCACAGTTCTGGAACTGTTCCCGCACAGTCCCCGCACAGTTCCAGCACAGTGCGAGAACTGTGCGGGAACAGTTCCAGAACTTGGGAATCAGTATGAACTCAGCCTATAAACTCGAAATTTCAAGAAAGGATGTTTCGGAAATTACCCCCACTGTGCCGATATTAGCGGCACCCGTTTTATCCGTATCGCTCGCTGCGTTGTTGTTCGTGCAAGCACCGTTAAGGTCAACATTTGGTGACCTTATCTTATATGTAAAGCTCAATGTCTGTTTGTATGTCTGTATGTCTATATGTATGTCTGTCTATATGTACGCATGTTCCGAATAGAAATTTTTATTTCTGAACCGATCCGGACCAAACTTGGCACTACACTTCGGGCCCCGGCGGGTGTCATAGGCTACTTTTCGCATCGATCGATACCGATTTTATCGATTTTTTGCAAAATTTGAGCTACGGGGCTGGGAGTTGGCACAGGGGGTAATCGAGCATGCTGATTACAAATATAATAATGACAGGGCCGGGCGGAGCCGGGTAAGTCGACTAGTATGATATAAGCGTGCGCAAAGAATATTTTTGGCTCCGCCTGTTGTCAGTATAGTTATACCACTGCACCACTGCGGTTGAGCTCTCTTAATAAATCTAAATATTACAACTTGTCCCGTTAATCATTTTCGTGTAAAAGGCGCCACCTTTGCACCTAAAGTCACCACACCCACCCCCAATTCATTTTGACAAAGCTTTCTGAAGTTTTCAAAATATCACTGCAGGTGTACGCGGGGTAAATGTTTTCATGCTGATCTAGGTCACTATCAAAAATTTTAAAGGTGAGAAGAAGGAGCGCTCTTCCTCCTCATTCGGCACCCAATGCTTAAAGGCAGTGTCCGGCAAAAATTTTCAGCTTTCCTTATTCGTTTGCTTGGGCTTATCCTCTACGCTCAATTCAGCAAAAAGCACGAGAACCGGCTCTTCTCAAGCCTTTATATTTTTGAACGTTTGAAACAGTTTCCGCCATGCTGACATGCAGCTGTGGGACCCTATGATTTCAACCATTTCTTCATGTGCACTCTACCGCAGGGCGGGAAATTCACAGGTAGGCAAAACTTTTTCTTTAGTACGTAAGTGCTACATCCCGAGCGGATTTCTTGCTTCTGGTTCAACGTTATGACTTCGCATTTGTGCGATGTTCCCGAGAGCATCCGTTTGCATAATCTATGTGTAGTAATGGACCCACCTCTTAACCTTTCCGGAATTTTATCGTTAAATTCATAAGGACAGTAATCAAAAACATATGCGTATATATCCCAACCGGCACTACGGCGAGCCAAAATACCATCAACCGCTGGCACGTTGAAAAGGAGGTCGCTGAGAAACTGGAACATGTCATCGTTTATAGACCCGTCATACTTCGCCGAGAAAAGTCCCAGGAAGCCCAAAAAGCCCGAAAGCACAGAAAGAGCCGGAACGCAGAAACGAACTTTTGGTAGAATTCTAACATTATTTTGATGTGCAGACACCAGAAAATGTAACCAAAAAGACTCGGTTGCGATACTGACACACATGCCTCAGCGCCAAAACGTGCGCGCGAAAGGAGGCGTTCAGGCTCTTTCTGGTGCTTTTGGGCTTTTTTGGGTTTTTTTCGGCGAAGTATGACGGGTCCTTAACAATCGCTTTCCTCGTAATTTTCATATTACCTCGATGTAGCGTTCAAGATAGAACTCGAAGTGCTTCTCTTCGTTTTTGTCGACGTAAAAGCCTATGACTTCTTGCAATATGTTAGACAAATGGTTTCCAACGTAAGTTTTCATCACGAATTCCTGTGCGAAAATTTTATTACGTTGTAATCAGATTGTCTATGTTTGCTTAGCTACCATCAATTTTTTGACAAGCTTCTGTCGATCCCAGGTGCTGTATGTTGATGGGTCAATGTAGAGGCTGTGGAAAAACTCCAAAGGTGGGCCAAGCAAGGCTGGAATAAGACGATCTGTGGCAAAGTTCTCTGTCATATAAGACTCTGCCAGATCGCGAAGGTCATATGCTAAGAACTTTCATGCAAGAACCGCGAGCTTTGACGGATAAAGCAACATCCGCGATTTTCAGACTCAAGGCAAATAAAAGCTAACATCTGACAGCAGAAAAGCATTTGACAGAAGAAAAAAGACTGAAAAGGCTCAACGCGTAACTAATGGCCGCAAAGTCAACGACCTTCACGATCGGGCAAAGCCCTATGCTGAGATTTCACGAAAACTTGTGGCCCTAACACACTCGACTGATTTTCCACCTGCGATTAGAGAGACGAATTTTTGTCGCTATCTTTCCAAGTTGAATGCACCATTGCAATAAAGCCCTACTTTTTCGGCAGGTCAAATTCCCTTCCCCTTCCTTTCTCTTCCCCCATTGCAAGATTCTCACAGGGCTGGTTATGCGAGTCACACTTTAATGCTGCACTTATAGTCGATTCGTTGACCGCACGGACTAAACTCGCTGCGGAGCAAGCGCCACGAGTAGAACGCTTGCTCTAGTACAAATGCCATTGTACAAGTCGTGCTCTCGCGACAATTCAGCCGCGCCGCGCATGGTCCGCAGCGTTTGAGCAATCTGTGCGGTCAACAGATCGACGATACTTGAAGGGCTTCTTGCATGGAAAATTCATTTGCAAGTTTGCACCTTTTGCTCAAATGAGAATTGAAAATGAGTGCTATCTCTGAATGGCAATCACATCAATTTTCTAAAAAACATCTCACCAAGACCGATGGCTTCCTTAGCTGTGACACCAATTATGGACTTTTTTGGTGGTGCAGTTGCGGCCATTTCATCTGGGTTGAGAAGAAAAATTCCATCTATAACTGGTCCCCATTTCACAAAATCGTAGCCTCCCGTTTTCGAGCCATGAAATATGTTGTTGAAACTTTTAATATAAATTGGTTTATGCTCACCACTTTTCTGATGGCGTCAACAATCTCTTCACGAGTTTTTTGTTTCATACAAGATTTGATTTTCTCCTTGCATTCTAATGCCTACAATATGAGTCATGTTTCCTTAATTACAGTGTCAAAAGTTACATTTGCTAGTTCTAATGAATTTTTAACCACACTGCTACCAATTGCGAACGATGTCCAAGGTGAGCCCGACATCTCAATGGAGCGGACAATGTGATCTGCAAATGAAAAGCTACCATAAAAAATATACCAGCATAGGAAAGCAGACTTGGGAGTTTGAGGAATGTCAATAAAATTAGAGGAATTTTTTTTGATCAAAGATATACTGAATTTTTGCTGTACTACATATAGTTCAGAATAATTCGATAAGTCGTCAAAAGCATGCGGCACTAGCTATTAAATTCAGACTCGGAAAGAGAGAAAAAATACTAAAGGAATTGAAAGATCAAGATGAGCTAACAAGGACACAACACTAAAAAATAAAAGAGAATACGATCCAAAGCAATTTGGCAGCAAATTCGTAATGAATTTTTCCTGATATTTTTCAACATCTCTTTTGGCAGTTGGAACTTGCTGCTAAGCCCAAAAATTTGTCAATCATTCTTTTTTCACATTGCCATTGCGTTGTGGTCAGTAAGAATGTTCAACAACGACTTTTTTTGTGACGTCTGAATCGTCGCAAATTGTGAAGGGTCCCTCGTTAGTGCATAGCAAACTTCTTATGGAAAGTCGTTCTAGGTAGTCGTTCGGCAATAAACGTATATTTGAATTCGGCGGGTCCGATGATGTACGATTTGATTCAACTGGCTTGGCGGCTGGAAGGCGGGCTTCGTGACCTAATTAAGGCTAAGTAATGATTAGAAAGCACGCGCGCGGGAGAGACGCAGACTGCATCGCGGGCGCGAGCGGCCTTAATTAGGTCACATAACCCCGCTTTCAAGCCGCCAAGCCAGTATATCAAAGGTTATAGCTTGTTTGGAATGCTCGGGTCAAGTTCTAATTATTTCCTGCTAAGCATAAAACCAACACAAGAAATATGCAGGAAAATTCAGGACGCTCAGTGTAAAAGGCGAATTAGAGAAAGCTGGCAGACCTCTTGTTATCGGACTAAGTATCAGATGACCAGCTGCAGCTCCGCCTGCACTTTCTCCCCAAACGGTAATGCGCGAAGGATCTCCACCAATCCTCTTGGCATTGGAATGGACAAACTAAAATACTTGAGACATTTTTTTTGTAAAAGAAAAGGCTTTGGCTAGTTTGTAATAGTGTACCTTCAGAGCTTCAGCCATGTCAAACAGGCCCATGTTCCCGGGGATTTCCTCATTTCCAGTGGAAAAGAATCCTAAGATTACGTGTGTAAACAAGTACGCTTAACATTTGATTCAACTGGCTTGGCTCGGGGAAGGCGGGGCTTCGTGACCTAATTAAGGCTAGGCAATGATCAGAGAGCACGCGCGCGGGAGAGGCGCAGACTGCGTCGCGTTCGCGCGCGGCCTTAATTAGGTCACAAAGCCCCGCCTTCCAGCCGCCAAGCCAATTGAATCAATTGTTAAGCAGTGAGAGGAGGAAAAGCGCTCCTACTAATATGTTGATGATGCTGGAATAAGTGCAAAACTTTGAGAACATAGATGCATCAAAAGAAGGCAACTAAAAATCGGATACTTTCGGAACAATTTGTTGGCATTTCCTAGTTCGAAAAATTACAAATAAATTGAAAAGATACCGTAAACTCCTAGTCGATACTGTATCGTAACAACAATAACTTCTCTGCCTGCAAACATTTCGGCAAAACCTTTGTATCCACACTGGACAGCCGAAAACATCCCAAAACCTGAGCCATGCACATAAAACAGGATAGGCAGCAAATGTCCTGATGAGACCTGGCAAGTATAGAGATTATTTTAGCTCTACGTCGTAGGAATTGCCAAATACCTCTGGGCTGGGTCGTATTATATTCAAACTTAGGCAATCCTCGCTTATCTTAATTGAATCCGTGAAAGTAGCCTCTGGGACGATGGGAACACAGGCGGCTCCGAAAGTGGTGCCATCACGGACACCAAGCCATGGTTTTGGTGGTTGTGGTCTCTCAAAGTAAAATTTCAATCAAATCAATATAAACTTTGACCCAAAGTTTGAGCACCATTTTAGATTACCTCAAACCTAAGCTCACCGATGGGTGGTGAAGCAAAAGGTATGTTGAGAAACACTTCGGCAATGTCATCTTTTTCCGTCTCGTACTCAAATCCTTGTACTTTTCCCTCGTTTAGCTCGAGCACTTGAGCAATTGCTGCCGCTTGGCATATGAAATATACCGCAAGTGACAGCATATCAAATTATGACTGAAAAAATTCATCAAACCAATTTTTTAATTTCTCGGGATTCTAATCTCTAAAAATTAGATTGATGCACAATTCTTGCACTAAAAAATAGAATAAAATTGTCTCAGAAATGCTCAGAGAATCTAATCGATTTGAAGAATATGCTTTTTGTTATGTATATCGAAAGTGATATTTTATAGTACATTTTAGAAAATCAGTTTGAAACCAAATCAATAAGTTGTTTTCAGAAGATCGAAATTCGTAACTATTCGAAGAAACATTCACTACCAACCTCGCTTAGTCAAAAAGAGTTTGCCATAAAACTAAGAGCAAAAGTAAATTTAAATTCTAGCAGACATTTTAGCGACTCTATTGATAAGTCGAAAAATCACTTTTGGGTTTTCTTTTAATCAGCTTATATCGTTCTCATGTGCCCTCAAAGATTCGGGACTTAAGCACCAGCAAAAATCGCAAGATTTTCTCACTCTATTATGTATCAAATCGAAAGATTTTATTGAAGCTGAAGGAAGTAACAGAATCAGAAAAATTTTCGTGCAAGGGGTTAACCTAATATTAGGTCGTCCCGAAAGTTCTTGCGCACGATTTCAAAAATTCATAACTTCTGATTTTCCCAACCGATTTGATTGCTTTTATACTTGTATGAAATAGTAAGTCATGCTCTTTATAATGACGTTTTAGCTGCTTGCTAGAGATCATCTGTTGCATAGATAGGAACGACAGACGAAAACTAGTCAAAAATTTGAATTTTTTGTGTCAAAGGTATTAAAAAATCGGAAACTTGCAACAAAAATCGGAGCAGCGGTATTGTAGGTTCTTTCAGCAGCTCTTTCTAACAGTTCAAAGTTTGCGCCGATTGAGCGTCTCTATGAAAAGTTATGATATTCGATCAAGCAGTACAAAAGGGCGAATTTGATTTATTTTGGCATTTTTCAGGGAAATCGTAACTTTTCATAGAAACGCTCAATCGGCGCAAACTTTGCACCGTTGGAAAGAGCTGGTGAAAGAACCTACAATACCCACTGCTCCGATTTTTGTTGCAAGTTTCCGATTTTTTATGACCCTACACGAAAAATTCAAATTTTGACTAATTTTCTTCAACCGCCCTATCTATGCGATAGATGATCACTAGTAAGCAGCTAAGATGTCATTATAAAGAGCACTAGCTGGCTTACCCGGCTCCGCCGTATCCGGACCAAACTTGGCACACATACACTTCGGGCCCCGGCGGGTGTCACAGTCCACTTTTCGTCATCGATCGATGTCGATTTTACCGATTTTTATCGATTTTTTTGCAGAGTTCACCTACAGGGCTAGGAGTTGGCACAGGGGGGGGGGGGGGGAGTGAGCATGGGGATTCCGAATACAATATTAGTTTTCAGAATTATCAATTACTTTTATTGATTTTATCGATTTTTTTGTAAATTTTGACATGCGAGGCTGGGATTTTGCACAGGGGGGTAATCGAGCATGCAGATTACGAATACAATATTAGTTTTCAAGATCGTCCATTACTTTTATCGATTTTATCGATTTTTTGAAAATTTGAGCTAGGGGGCTGGAATTTGGCACAGGGGTGTAATCGAGCATGCTGATCACCCCCCTTGGGGGAGATCAGCCATGCTCGATTACCCCCTGTGCCAACTCTCAGCCCCCTAGCTCAAACTTTGCAAAAAAATCGATAAAATCGATAAAAGTAATCGATAATTCCGAAAACCAATATTGTATTCGGAATCCCCATGCTCGATTACCCCCCTGTGCGAACTCCCAGCCCCGTAGCTCAAACTTTGCAAAAAATCGATAAAATCGATAAAAGTAATCGGTAATCCTGAAAACCAATATTGTATTCGGAATCCCCATGCTCGATTACCCCCCTGTGCCAACTCCCAGCCCCGTAGGTGAACTCAGCAAAAAAATCGATAAAAATCGATAAAATCGATTTCGATCGATGACGAAAAGTAGCCTATGACACCCGCCGGGGCCCGAAGTGTATGTGTGCCAAGTTTGGTCCGGATCGGTTCAGAAATGGAATTTTCTATTCGGAACATACGTACACACATACAGACATACATACATACAAACAGACATTCAGCTTTATATATAAGATGACTTACTCTTTCATACAAAAATAAAAGCAATCGGATTGAAAAATCAGAAGTTATGGATTTTTCAAAATCGTGCGCAAGAACATTCGGGACGACCTAATATCTTTAGTAGTGGAAGGAACTCTGGAGAACTACTAAATTAATCAGTCCAATGCATTGAAGGTTGACCTGTTATGGAAAATCGAAAATCGCTTTGAGAAAACATAAAATTTGCTTTTTTTGCTGATGTTCCTCTTCACAATCTATACATGGACACGACTACACGTCACTCTCTTATCGCTAGAAGCTTTCACTGATAAATCAACAAATTTCGCATGGATTGACATGACTTTTTTATATTGATGTTAATCGAATTTTGATTGGCACCAATTTAGATTGAATGCCAAAATGCATGCTGTTTTTTATTATACTTTGATAACGTAACAATTTTTACATCACCATGTAGTATCATCATACTCTATAATAAAGCGTAAGGGGGCCCATCCGACGTCAACAACCGGCAACGGGATGTTTGTGAAGATCTCTGTCTTAATTTGCACTTCTGCCTGTTTCCAGACTGTTTACCCTTACGAATCCGCGCAGCCACCTAAGTGCAACTTATGACTCATAATGGTAGTGATGCCCAACTTAGTTGATCAAGAAGCATGAACAAAAAAGGGCAATCACTAGACAAGCTTAACGCTTCAAGCAGTAACATCGATTCAAATCGCCTACCATGTTGTATTCCTTTACACTACAAAAAATTGCGAATTTAGATGCCTGAGAAGCGTTCCTTCAAATGTAGATGTAAATCTGCGTATCTGGAGCTACATATGCGTTTTCTACATATGTGTTCCATTGAACTCGCTTTTAAGAAAAGAATTTGCACCAAATAACCGCAGAAAAGTACCTTATCAATACTGATTTCCAAATGTTGGAAGTTTTCCTAAACCAAGGAATTCTTATCGTTAGTTTGAATTCAAGCAACCCCTGATATTTTGTTCCTTAGTTCAAATTCAAGAGCTCTGATATTTTTGTACTAATGTGGGCTCAAAAATATATATATGAGTTAGCAAAAATTGCGATTTCCAAGTTTCTTTGATCAAATGATTAGCATGTTAGCTGGAAAAATGCACCGCTTTGTCCAAAAATAGATACTTTCAGCAAAAAAACTGCAATTTCTCAAGTATCATTTCATGAGTGCTTAATGTGTTCATCGTGAAGAAGTAGCCCAGATCCGTATTAGATGAATCTGCCCTTTGATTTCTGTGTGTAATCTGCTTTCATGCAATTTCTGCGTAAGTGGTCCTTTACGAATCTTAATTCGTTGCTTTTCGCAAACCTTAACTTTTTGAGTAGAAGCATCCATCTGTTAATTTTCTGTTGAGCATTTCGTTTGATATGTACCGTATGTTCAAAAATCAGAGAAGCTTCTGAAATTTTAAAAAAATTTCTAAAAGTTCTTACACTACGGAATTTGCGAGTATCCACGCTCCGAAATTATGCTTTTTTTGTTGAGCATTTTGTTTGGAATGTACCGTATGTCCAAAAATGTTGCTAAGTATTTTAACAGAAAGGCTTACGTAATTGCTCATAACATACTCAAACGTTCCTATCTTATAGATGCTGCGACGTATCCAATCTCCGGAATATCACCTGATTTCAACCACCCTGCGTAAATGTTTCCTAATTTGAATCGCACCGAATCTGCTTTTGAAACTTCACTCCAATTTTGTTTTCACTTCTTGAACAATTTCTGTTGTCAGCTTTCTCCTAGATTTTTCATCGAATGCATGATTTTCCATCTTAGGAAAGACGTGCCGAATCTGTTTCTAAAATAGTAGGTACTTATCTCAAACAAAAGCGCGAATGCTCCCATAAGGCAAAGGATGTTTGCTGAAAGCACAAACACACCTTGAATAAGTCTCTTAATGATATTTCAAGCACACCATAAGCTAGAAAGTTGTATTTTGAAGCATCTCGGATGGAATTTCAAGGGTGTTGGTCACTTTTAGAAGCCATGTAAAAGGGAATTGGGGCTCTGATACCAAACAAGTTTTCGCGTTAATTTTTTGAGATGCAAGAGGATCGTGCACGGTTTCAAAAAAGGATAATTTCTAGAGAAAAAGAGGAAGTGTTTGAATTTGACCATTTCTAGATTTTCAAGTTTGAACAGAGTTGAAGGGAGTGGAGATTGTAAGGCAGTTTGGAGGGACACTCAACGAGGGAAGAGAACAGGGCCTCTAGTAAAAACACCCCAAGGGCCGCATGCACTAACATCCTCGCGGGGAGGGGATCGCGGCTTAAAAGAAAGCTTTATATTTCGAAACTCCAGATACCTGGATTTGACGTTGTGTACCTATCCGTAAGTACAGGGTGTCCCAAAAAAATGTTTAGAACGTTTGATCGTTGATATCTCTCTTCCCAAGAAGTCTTTTGCCTTGCTTCAGGTACCGTTTTGTAGAGCTGGCTTCAACTTAGATTTCCATTATAGAACAATCACGCATCTCTCTTCATTACTGTAGGGTTACGGTAGAAACTTCAAAGAGGGTTTTGAACCATGGAAGGCCATATTTTGCCTCAGAAAGGAAACAAAACAGCCTGAAAACTTTTACACTAGGCTAATTAGAATTGCTGATTACAACTGTAAAGTTTCCAACTTATTATGATGCTTCATTGAAGAGTTATGCCAGGTGAGAGGTAGCGGCCTTTTTTACAATGTTCCTAAAAAGTGCGATTACACCGTTTAGAAAGCTTCGTAATCTTGTGAATAGTTGAGTATTGAACTCAGCGTCTATAAAAACCCTATTACACAAGTTTTCACAATTTTTTGAAAAATTTTGAAACGGCAGCTTTTTCCACATTGACACCATATGTTTCAAGTTTCTACCGTAACCCTACAGTAATGAACAGAGAT